CTCTCTGCAGTGAGAGAAAAGGTGGCTTGGGGGCTCGGACAGTAAAGATGTTTTCCCTTATGTCCAGCCTGAAACAGTCCTGGAGGAGTTTGTCGTCCCTTGGGGTGCTCTGGTGAACAGGCATTCATTTCCCTAATCCTGATGCACACCCCGTATGTACTTATTGGCTGCCACCAAGCCAGGTTTAATCTGGAGTTGATCAATCCTAGATTTAATCTGGAGTTGATTAGTCCAAGATTTTCCTGGCATCAAAACAAGGGAGGGACAGTTGTTTACGCAAGAGGCTAAAATGGCAATTAACTGGAATTAGCTGCTTGTTCCAAAGCTAAGTGTTAATTAGGATATTTCACAGGTACTTAATGTGGGACAATGGGTTTGTCCATCTGTAAGAGCTGGGGTTTGCTGTGAAACAAGAGGCTCAAATTCAAATAAAATCAGGCGTCTGTTTTTAGCTCCTTGTGTCTTCTCTTCGGCTAAAAACAGATGTTGGGTTTACCTAGGGTCTGACTGGCCCAGCCTTTGATTCACATCAAAACAGGTGGGGTGGGAGGCAGTGGATGGTTCGGGGACAGTCATTAACACAGGACAGGAGTGGTATTGAACTCAAATTCACCCTTAACTGTCCAGAAAGTGTGGTCTTGGCACTTTGCAGGCACTTCACAGGTACTTAAAGTGGGACAATGAGCTGGTACCTCTGTAGGATCCCACAATAAATGGCTTTGTCCCAGAGGAAATCCATTGTGTTTAGCCTTAAAGTCCCCCAAAAAGGGTGGGGAGGGTCCTTCAGAGGTCCACCTGTCCCACCATCCCTGCCTGCACCAGCCCAGACACGTGTCTGTCGAACCCGCTCCTCACACCTCCAGGAACAACCTTGCCTTGATGCCATCGCCACCCACCTGGGGACCGCCTGGCCTCCAAATGGCTCGTGATGAAAATATTCCAGCCTCTAAATAGGAAGAAGTTTTGAAGAAAGGAATAAAATAGTCTCTAACATTTAAAAAAAAAAACCCTTCTTCCCCACAGCTGTTCTGCAAGCTGTCCTATGTGGAGAAAGGCTAGGAAGGCAAGGTAGATAGGACTGCTTTGAAGTACAGACTGGGGACCTGGGAAATGACAGAAGTATCAAAGATGGGGGGACCAGCTGGGATCCGTATTCCCAGCCCCCTTTCTCCAGAGTCAACAGTGTGTGATACCTCGCCGTCAGGCCATCTGTGTTACAGTCTCCATCACTTTCCACCCAAAGGAAAGCACCTAAGAAGCAGTCAAGGGTTCTGGGTCAATGGGATATCCTTTATTAGACCAACTAAACAGTTGGAAAAAGTGAGATCTGAAATGGTGGGCCAGCAGATGGGAATTGGAGTAAGAGAGCCTTTGACCCCCCAGCTCAGAGGTGCCAGTTCACCCCATCCCAGTCCTGCCCAAGAGGCAACACACAATGACTGGGAAATCACTTCTAGCTGGTGGCATGATCCAGTTGCTAGCAGGACAAATGTCTATCAAAAGAATAACCCGACACCAAAAGAATAGCACAACGCCTCTTCTGTGAGCCTCAGCACGCATTTTTAACCAATCTACTTCTCCCGTGGTGCCCACTTCCCATGGACATTTGTGCAATCAGGGAGGCATGAACACAACAGTTTGCACAAAGCAGATCTCTCCCCATCGCACCCAGAGACTCCTGGCAAGGGGATTTTAAATGCACATCCTGGAAAACTTCCCACCAAAAAAAATCTACCGACAGTTTTCAACCTTTTTTCATTTGCAGACCCCCTAAATAAAAATTTGAACGGAGGTGCGGACCGCTTTGCAAGCTTTGAATGGAGGCACAGACCCTTTTGAGCTGTCGCTGTGTTTTGATTGATCAGAGTCATGTTTTGAAGGCCCTTTAGAGACAGCCTGCAGAGCCCCAGGGCTCGGGGGCACAAGTTGAAAACCGCTGCTCTACACAACGGGAGCAGCAACAGCCACACGCCGTTTCCAGGTGTCCATTCACAGCCCAGCAGCTCACATGCCGGGTTTGGAGTCTCGCTGAGTCCGGCAACAGGAAACCAAACTTACAGAAAGATTTTTTTAGAGCCATTGCTATGAATCACTCACTCGGCCCTACCTGGGTGGCCAAGATCGGCGTACGTCCAGAGAAGATCCGACCGGTGAAGCCACCCCTTAGATGGGATTGTTTTTCTTGTAGCACTGTACATGAAACCCTCTGCATCTGAAAGCCAAGGAGGATGAGCTAACGATACGACCTGCAAGGGTGAGATCTCAAATTAAAATGTCACAGATGATGAGCTGTCCCGCTAGCCTGTCTGCCCAGAGCCAGTCAGCCCGGACCAGCCAAGTGATGGGGATGTAACGCTTCACCTCGGCCATTCGCCTGGAAATGTTTGAGTCAATACCGCGGCGGGGACTTAGTAAATAGATTTCTGGGCTCCCTTATGAAACTAAGCAGCTCAGGGAGGCTTTAATGATGATATAGGAGCTTCTAAAATGAAAACCAAGGCCACGTTTTTGCCATTGGTCAGACTCATAAAGCGTCTGGGAATGGCTGGGCTGTCAAGTAAAAAAATGTCAGAGCGGGGAACCCAGCACGGCGCCTGGAGTCAGCTAATGCCGTTAAGTGCATTGAGGGAGATGAATGGCCTGTGGGATCCTTCTGAGCAGGAGAGGGTCAGCTAAGGGCAGGCACCGAACTGAAATTAAGGCAGGGGAAACCAGAGCCGGAGCCAGCGACAAGAGTGGTGTCGGTTGTCTAGAGCGCCCGGGAAGCATCCAGAGGGCCTGGACCACGGCTTTGCCATGGGCTCCAGGGATGCCGGAGATCACGGTGAAGCCAAGAGCAAGAGGCTGCTAAGACTTCATGTCCCTTCCCGTCCACGCTCCCCACACCCATGCAGCAGCCTTTCCTAATGCCACCACGAAGGGGATTAAAGGCGCGCAGGGAAAATTTCCAGGGGAAGGAGAATGGAGCACGACCAGAGTGAAGAGCTCTGCCCTCACTAATGTATAGGGGGGGATTAAAACATAGCAATACCAACCATCCCAGCAGCACTTTTGCCCGACTGTTGTCCTGAGCAACCACAATTTCCTCCTGTTTGTTGCATATTCAGATTTATGCAACTGTTTTCTGCAAATATCTGTCCTTCTCCAGGCCACAGCCAGTTTGCCAGCAAACAACCACAGCTTGAGGGTCGGACTGCAGGTTATGCTAATTGTTGGGTACTGGACAGAAAAGCCTCAAGACTTTGCTCCCGATCCCTGATCAGATGAGTGCAGGGTATGGAGGAACACGTTAAATTTGCTTGGTGGCTTTTGGTACAGGGGAACGTGGCAGCCATGTCCCACGGCACGTCGGAGAACAAGCTCCGTGGCCCAGGGATGGGTGTGGGCGGTGAAGGCAAGGTGGGGGTGACAGCGAGACCCTGGAGAGACTCAAAGCAATGCTCATCTCAGAAATACCCTTCACCGCAAGGCCACAGGCAAGAAAGGAGGACTAGACTGATCATGGAAAATTCAATTTTCTCCCCACTTCTCCGTTGTCTGGTTTCCCTGGAAGCACGAACCCTGCTTCATCCACGGGCTTTTTGGGGAAAGAAGTGTCCTCTTTATTTAGAAATGTAGGACTGAAGAAGGCTCCTAGGCCATCATGTCCAGTCCCCCATGTTCACAGGCTGTCACAACCCTAAGGAAGCCCCCGAACCAGGCCAAACCCTCACCCCCACCTAGAAGAAATGCTGTCTACAACATGAGTAAAAGTAAGGAGGCAAAGACACTGCCAGGAAAGGAGCTAATGTGTCTGTACAATGGTTGGCACAATACAGCTGTGGTTCTCGATTGAGACTCCAGGGCACTAACACACTGCCCTTGTAACTCATATTGGGAGCATCTACACATGCATTTACTGCGCAGTAACTTACTGCGCAATAACCGATTTTGAGGCCAGCATCTACACATGCAGCCGTTAAAGTGCATTAACACTGTGTATGGATTGATGTGGCGTCTACACACGTGTTACTGTGCAGTAACTAATCAGGCATACATTTGATACCTGCGTGATGCAGGTGTCAAATTTATGCCCAAATTGGCGTAAGTTGCCATAGTCACTGCTCGTGTAGACGCATGCCCGCACCGCACAATCATTTTTGGTTACTGCACACTAACCTAAATTACTGCGCAGTAAATGTGCACATGTAGATGTGCCCACAGAGTAGCTGATATCCCAGGCCTGCCATAGCCAAGTACTTGGGTTTTCACGGGTCTCACTCAGCTTCCCAGAAGGCCAAATGTCCACCCCAGGTGGAGAGAAACTCATGTCTGCTAGTCGGAGACCCTCAGCAGTTAGGTGGATGTGCAGGGTAGGGGCAGGGTAACCCAGCTGGCACTGGGTACCTGGGTGACACTGAGACACCAGGTCAGGCCTTGCACCACAGTGAGAATGGCTTGGAAAATACAGTCAAGTGCCTTTTGTGTCCCCCCACTCCCCGCTCAAAAACCACAGAGAGCTGTAAAGCCTCCTGGAGCAGGAAGCTGCCCACATAGAGACCATCCAGATAGACCAGATAGAGACGAAGGTCACCGCCTGCCATGCAGATGATAAACAGCGCCAGGACGGATGCTTTTGTCCCTCTCTAATACCTGCCTTTTGATGTGCAACCTGCCCTTGGCAATCTGGAAAGGCAATTAGCAGCGGAGACTGGAAAACTCGACCAGGCCGCACCTGAATTTCCTGTTTGCAGGGAGATGCTAATCTCACCCCATTTACCATGGGGATACGTCCCAGCTTCTGCCTCCCTGCCGGTCCCGGCTTGCTAATCTTTGTTGTGCTGCACACCTGTTCCCTGGTCCCCAGCTTCGCTGTCCTCCCCCAGCCCACCTCCCCTCCCTCCATCCCTTTATTGTTGCTTCAAAAGGTCTGTCCGGAAAGTTTCCTTGCGTGGTACACCCAGCGTGCGGTATAAAAAGGCGTGGGGCTGCAGCGAAGGCACAGACACTCACAGGGAGAGGGAGAGAGCGACACGCAGCAGGGAGAGAAGCCAACATCGCCCTGCCCAGCAACAGGTAAGGAGGAACTCCTGCTCTTCGTCCCCTCCAGTCCCTCGGCCCCCATCTTCTCTCCGCTCACCGAAGCACCCAGACAAAGCTGCCCTGTGCTATCCCTGCACCGGTAAAGAGTAAGGGGATTTTCTTTAGCTGTAACGCAGCAGAGATACCCAAGTCCAGGTGAGATTCACAGGCAGCGACTGCTCCTGGAAGCTAGCAAGTAACTGGAGGGGGGCTGGTTCTCGACAGCTTTCTCTTGCTTTGTCCACAGCACGTTGCAGGAAGAAACTTTGCTGAAAAGGCAGTCTTGATTGACTGTCTTGGCAGTCGAGCCAGGCTAGCACGAATAAGTCCTCAATGCTAAGCCCTCTCTGAGGGGAAATAATTAGTATTGCAGCCGCGCTATAGTTCATTCATTTGCTAAGGTACGTTTCCAGCCGTCAGCTATTTAACTAGAAGAGGAAGCCAATAAAAAAGATGCTATTCTCTCAACCTGAATATTTCATAAGTTCCTTCCTAGAGCCCGCATCTCTCCCCTCTTCCCCTAGCTCGCCTTTTGTGCTTTGCTTGATTGCTGACTAGATAGATTGCAAAGCCCTTTATCCACGGTTTCAAGACCTTTCGCATTTTCTTGCCTTCCTTAATAACACGATAGATAGCAACTGCTAAATTTTATGCCACCTTAGGTTGAATCTGTTCTGGTCTCTAATAAATGCATCTCTCTGTCCTAACTGCAAATCGTTCTTCCTAAAGTCCTGTGCTATCTAAACTGAGATGAGGATTATAATGCAGTGGTTCTCAATCTTTTTAGACTCAAGGGACCCCTCGGTAGATTCAAAGCACCCCTTGCAAGATGAGGATCCCTTCAGAAAATGCCAGCTCTGAGCTCGTGTCCATGGCTTGCCTGCAGAGAAAATATTAGAGCAATTCTTCTATTGCAAAAAACAGACTGATCACAACAGGCCAGAATAGCTTTGACCCTATGGATTCCCACTGGGAATCTCTGAGTGTATCTTGTGTATCGCGTGTAGGTGTCGACACCCCTAACAGTGCTAATAATGTGCAGCGCCCCATGGCACCCTTAATAGGATCTCACAAAACCCTTAGGTGGGATTTCCCACTGGGAATCACTTTTTTAACAGTATTCACAGTAAGGTGTCAGTGATGTTAGTTTGCTGCAGTTAAGGAATAAATCAGAGTTATCCCAGTCCCCAAGTCCTTACTGAGCCAAAACTCTCTGAGTCAGTGAGCTATCACCATACAAGTGAAATGGTACCTTACGCCGATTACTTAAATCAGAGAACCATAAAAATGAGGGTTGAAGGGAGCTCAGGAGGTCACATCTAGTCCAACCCCCTGCTCAAAGCAGGACCAGCCCCAACTACAGCATCCCAGACAAGGCTTTGTCTACCCAGGGCTTCAAACCCTCCAAGGATGGAGACTGCACCACCGCTCTGGGGAGCCTGTTCCAGTGCTTCACCGCCCTCCTTGTGAGAGAGTTTTTCATAATATCCAACCTCAACTTCCCTTGCTGCAGCTTGAGCCCATTGCTCCTTGTCCTGTCATCTGCCCCCACTGAGAACAGCCCAGCTCCATCCTCTTTGCAGCCCCCCTGCAGGGAGGGGAAGGCTGCTATTCAATCCCCCTCGGTCTTCTCTTCTGCAGACTCAATCAGCCCATTTCCCTCAGCCTCTCCTCACCAGCCCTGTCCCCCAGCCCCACAACCATTTTCCTTGCCCTCCGCTGGACTCTCTCCGACTTGACTACATCCCTTCTGCAGTGGGGAGCCCACAGCTGGACACAGGACTCCAGATGTGGCCTCCCCCATGCCAAATAGAGGGAAGAATCACTGCCCTCGATCTGCTGGCAACGCTCCTCCCAATGCAGCCCAGGATGCTGGTAGCCGTCTTGCCAGCAAGGGCACACTGCTGGCTCCTGCTCAGCTTCTTGCCCACTGTCCCCCCCTGTAAGGAGATAAGTCATGGCAGAAGGTTAAGTCAGTGCGCTCCAGGTGTCATGAGAAGTTGCAAAGGGTCTTTCCCCCTCCCCCCCACCCCAAAAAAAAACCTAAGTTTTTTCATGTCCCTCACAATTGTTGTGGATTTTTTCTTAAGTTTTAGCAAAAAAACCCAATCATTTCAACTTAGACTCAACCAATCCCACTCCATGGTTTTATAGCACAGAAATGCTGTGGCGGGTGGGGGGTTGGGTTTTTGGTTTGGGTTGGATGTGGTGGAGACGGCGGTTGTTTTATATCTGACAAAACCCTAGGAAATCTGGAGCCTGGACAGTGTCTGGGCTGGTTTCCCATTTAGTCAAAAAGGCACCTTTTTTTTTTTTGGTTTAAAAACTAGACATTTCTAGGGCAAAAAAATGGTGGTTGGTCTCCAGCACAGCACGTCCTCAGCTCAAGTCCAGCCAAGGAAGGAGGACATGGAAGAGGGTACTTCCATTTCTAGTCTGCAGTGTAGGAGCTGGCCCTTGTCCAGAAACCCTCAAGCACCAAAGCGTGAGTCCCTCGGTATTTTCCACCACTCTTTAGCTTGGCAGCTTTGAAAGCACCTCGGATTAACATCTGTCTGCACTTGAAGCCCAAAGATGAGGCTGCTACTCGAATGGGTTCCCTGCGCTGGCTTTAAATCCAGTACCCCTCGCAGCCTAGGTACAGAGGCACAGACTGGAGCAGCCCCAGAGACATGGGCAGCCCGCACCGAAGTGGCTGGACAACTAGCAGTACCCATGCTCGCACTACAGCTCCCTTAGCTGTGCATACGTGAGCTGTAGTGATACCACTGCCCTGCAGTGTAGATGCACCGTGGCACAGAGCTTCCCCATATTCATGTTCCCAAGTCACTCGGGAACTTTTTAATAACACCCTCCCCACATAACCACGCACATGTTGGCTCGAATACACAAGTATCCCTATTATTTCCATGTTGGCTGTGTCACAGGCACGGTCATGTACTCCCAGGCACATTCCCAAGAGCTCACAGTCCACAAAGCGAGCAGCCAGGTAGACGGCAAGCCAGAAAAGAGGCAATTGCAATAAGAAACCTATGTGAAAAATCAGCTTGATTTGCTCTGAGCAGAAGTGAGTCCTTAAGAGGACTTATAAGCCTGAGGAATGCACTGCTCATCGTTTCCAGTAGAAACATTATTCATATTTATCTGGTACCTACCTGCATGACCTGAGAGATCCCTGCAGGCAGCAGGTACCACTTCTTCACTTCAGCGAGTCCATCTCCTTCAGCCTAGTTTCAGTCAAATTAAGAGATGGGGTCAGTTCCCTTCACCAGAGGGATGTTCTTGCATTAGGGATGTAACAAACAGTGCTGGGGAATTATACTGTCTTTTTTTAAAAGGAAAAAGTAAAGCCAGGCTGCATTTCGCTTGAGGATGGTGTGATCTGCTTTGGACATGAGCTAGGAATATAGTATGACTATGCTCTAGTGAATATACTCTATCGTCAAAGAGTGCCCTAGTGGGCCCCCACCGAGAGACTGGGGGTCCAGATGCCTATGTTCGGCTTCAGACTCCCCCAAAAACTCACCGAGTGACTTTTAGCAAGTCAGCTTATGCCTCAGTTTCCCCTTCTGCAAGACTGCAATAGGAAGACTTGTGCATCTGGCAGGCACGGGGTTAGATTGCATTCATTCGTGCTGGCTCTTAACAGGTTCCTAGCTCTGCAGACTAGCAAACACACATTGCCAGCCCCCCTTGCCATACAGCTGCAAAGTTTAGACAGGGGTTTATACGATGCACTTTGTTCTTACCATAAGCTAATTCCCTGCATCCTTTAAGTGCTTCTTATGGTGAGAAATCCATTGCATATGTACTGAGACTTCAGCTCCTAGCACGTGAAATAGAGTTGTTCTCTCTCTGTCTCCCCCACCATGACCAGCAGAAAAGATCCTGGGGTCACAGCACAGAGTACTAACCACTGAATATGTTGCCTGTCTTCTTGGATAAATCCCATGGTATAAACCTGTGCTCCCGTAGGAATACACTTGATATTCCTGCAGGGATTTTTAAAAGGCCAGGATTGTAGCTGGTAATCATGGCAATTAGAAACAGCCCCTGTTCCTCCTTTAGCTATAACACTTCTACACAACAGGAGGGACACGCTGCTTTTCTCAGCTAGCTAGGAGGACCTGGCCTACACACATATCATCTGTGCACATGCAGATTCCTCCCCGGAGCCCAGAGACCCATCTGAACTCATTCCACCTCTTGCCAAAAGTCATTCTTGGTAAGGGGGTGGGCATCTTTCTTGGGATTTTGTTCCCCATGATTCACCTCCCTTAGAAAAGATGTGACCTACCAAACCCAGGCCAGGTCTCCACATCAGCATTGCTCTAATGAAGTCACCTATGGAGTATTTCTACAACACAGCAGGGCTTTGACACCAGTTCACACCAGGAAACTTTTAACCGGTCCAAGCTCCGGAGGCAGTGCAGTCAGGCAACCCCAGCAGGATGTCTTGGCTATTTTTCCAAGAGAGCGGGGTGGGAGCGAGGTATCAAAGGGCTGCATGGAAAGAGGAATTGTGGATTCCCGTTCTGCCCCTGTCAGATGTTGTCTTACAAACAGGCATGAGTTGCATGAGCTGTGGCTAGTGGGCTGGGAGCCTCGCAGCTCTCCCGGCAGCGGGTGGGGAGCAGGAGCCAAATTTTGAAATACAAATCCAGGTCCAAACTGGGAACCCTCCACTGCTTTCAGGTGTAGGGCATTCATTTCCATGTCACACCTCTACCCTGTGTCCTCAGGACTCCACGCTGAGACCCTAAAGATGCTGAGACCCGCGTGGACCCCGCTCCTGGCGGTCCTGGGCGTGCTGCTGCTTCACTTGGCCGGAGGAGTCAACAGCCAGTGCTGGGAAAGCAGCAAGTGCAGCGATCTCACTACAGAAACCGGCATCTTGGTGAGTGGGGAGAGAGCAAGGACGCTTCTTGTGCTGGGGCTGCATGCTGTCTTGGCAGGTTGCATGGATGTGTGCATAGATGATGAATGGGTGGATCTAGGATTTTGGAAAGGGGGGTGCAGGTGCCGTGGGGCATCATCACATACGACACAACACACATTTTTCTCAAAGCAACTGGATACCTTACTAACATGCCGGTGGGGGCAGCACGGTGTTCTTCAGTTTAAGACTGAAATAACATTACGGTTTTATTGGAATGCATGTTCATTTGCTCTGTCGTCCCGTCTGTATATAACTAGTTAAAAATGATCAAAAGGTGTTGTTTCTTGAGTCCCGTTGTCATTAGAATTAAAGCTACATTTCTTTCACATTCCTTCTTAAGCATGTTGCCACCGCACCTTCGCTGACAGGCATTTCCACCCCTGAGCTGAGGTTCGCTTGAGTTAATGTTCTTAACTAGAGTTAAAAACAGGGCTGTGAAATAGGAGCTACATTACCAGCAGCAGTGAACAGACAGCAGAATTGCAGAAAAGAAGATAGCTTGATTAGTGGAAACTCAAGCCCATTAAAAAAGAGGGGAGGGTTATTAATGCCTATAGAGTTAAGTGTTTAGAAGAAGCAGGTAGATGACAGCGAGCCAGGAAGGTGGACCGTCTCCCCCAGCTGAAGGCCAGGGTTTCATACCCTCTTTATGAAGCCTGGAGATCCACCTGAGATCAGGCTTGATCTCAGCCCACATGTCCAGGGGACCTCTCCAGGGCGGATGCACCTCTGCCCTCTCCAAGGCACGGTGCCAGCCAGGTGAGGACCCATGCCCTTGGCCGAAGAAGGCTGCAAGGACAGAGAGAGTCTTGTCGGCAGTCCTGCAATTCGAGCACGATCTCTACCATGGCTCATTGACGGGTCTTGAGGTGACTTCAGAGGGAGTAACGTGTCTCAAGAGGTGCAAGTCTGAGCCAAGTTGCCAACTTGTACCCCACCGCCCTGAGCCCCCTCTTGCTGAGGACCCATCAGGCAATGGGCACCTGGTCATTCAGGCCAGGGGGCAGGTCCAAGGTATGATGCTGGCTCCATCCTTCCTTTGTCCCCTGCCAGCTACACCAAGTGCCCTGCCAACCCACAATCCAGTGAGAAGAGAGAGTGACCCACACTGACTTACCCTGTAGCCTTAGGCAACTCCCTCGTGCCAACCTGGGTGCCACAAACAGGGCATACGCAGCCATTTCATTAATGATGCTGCCTCCTTTCCAGACACCGCAGTGCCAGGCACCCCGGGCATTGGCAGTGCCCAGTGGCAATAGACTTGCCTGGGACAGGGTGTCAGGATCGGGCCCCTCCCCAGCACGACGCGCGTGGCTGCTGGTGAAGCCTGTGAGCAAACAGCAGAACTGGGAAACGCCGTCTTTGGTCTGGCCCTCGGCGTCCTGGCGTTTCTCGGCCAGGACCGTCTGTGTCTCAGGTTGCCCTAGGTGCATTTTTACTGCTGAGTTGGGAGCTCCTGAAGTCAGGAAAGTCTCCCTTCACCCTTGTGTCAAACCGGGTTTGTGGCTCAGAGCATGGACACAAGCGCACAGTTATGCCGCGCTAAAGTCTGAGCCTGCATCGGCTGATCCAGTATAACCATTTCATCTGTTCGCTCCTAGCCCAGAGGAAGAAAGGATCAGTCTCACTGACTTACCACGGGCTGATTTAGTGCAACTGAGCTTCCACTGAGTGTGGGATGGAGCAGACACATGAAACAGTTACAGCAGACTCAGCTGAACAGCAGGCCCTTCCCCACATGCTTTTTTAACTGAGATAAGCATTTCATCTGTCCACACCCTTTCTCTCGCTGGCCAAATGCTAGTGACCGCCCCAACCCATCTGCCTTCCAGCACCCCGCGACTTGCAGACGGGTTCACTCGAACTGGAAGTCAAGAGGTTTGGGTTTATTTCTCAGTGCTCCTATTTCTCTAGGACATGGAGTCTGCCCCATCTGTTAAACAGAAATAAAACCACCGGAGAGACTGAGCATGCCACATCCTTGGCTGGTGTAGATCTGCATAGCTCAGTGAAGCCCGTAAGAGGGGCTTTTTCCCTGTGGCCATAAGGGACAGGACGAGGAGCAACAGACTCAAGCTGCAGCAGAGGAAATTAAGGCTGGAGATTAAGAGGAGCTTTCTGACTTGGAGGGTGATCCAGTGTTGGATCATGCTGCCTAGAGAAACTGTGGCATCTCCATCCTTGGAAACTTTCAAGGGCAGACATTTAGTTTCATAGTAGTTTCCTAGTAGTTTGGGGTCAGAAGGGACCTGAACAGATCATCTAGTCTGACCCACTGACTTAATTGGGATGGATTAATCAGGGATGCTCCTGCCTTGAGCAGAGATGGACTAGATATCCTCGCGAGGTCCCTTCCAGCCCTGTTTTCCTATGATCCTAAGGTCCAAAGCCATGCATCTTGTGCATCTGTGTCTAGCTAAAACCTCTCCTGTTTCCTATCCCAGGGCTGCATCAAAGCCTGCAAGCTGGACCTGACTGCCGAGTCCCCCATGTACCCGGGCAACGGCCACCTGCAGCCCTTGTCCGAAAACATCCGGAAGTACGTGATGAGCCACTTCCGCTGGAACAAGTTCGGCAGGAGGAACAGCAGCAGCAGCGTGGGGCACAAGAGAGAAGAGCTCCCCAGCCACCCCCTCCTCGGCCTCTTTCCCGGGGCCGCCCAGGACAGAAACGAGGAGGAAGACGAAGGAGCAGCCCAGGGAAGGCAAGAGAACAAGCGGTCCTACTCGATGGAGCACTTCCGGTGGGGCAAGCCGGTGGGAAGGAAGAGGAGACCCATCAAGGTCTACCCCAACGGCGTGGAGGAGGAGTCCGCCGAGAGCTACCCCATGGAGTTCAGAAGAGACCTCTCCGAGGAGCTGGACTACCCGGAGCTCCACTCCCCGGACAGCGCCGAGAGTGAGGAGGTGGCCGTCTCGGACGAGGAGGAGATGATGAAGAAGGACGGCGGGGCCTACAAGATGCGCCACTTCCGCTGGAACACGCCGGCCCTGGACAAGCGGTACGGCGGCTTCATGACCTCAGAGCACAGCCAGACGCCTCTAGTGACTCTTTTTAAGAACGCCATCATCAAAAGCGCCTACAAGAAGGGCCAATAAAGGGGGCTGGGGAGGGCGCGGGGCTGACCGGCCAATGGGTCCCCGAGGAGGTAGCTTCACGATCCCGCTGGCATGTGTTCTTCACTTAGATCCCGTTAAAACAAAGTCACTTCTTATGTCGTTGTTGTTCTACAAGCAGTCTGCGGTTAGGGAATGATGTCGCGCTCTTCTCCTCCGCTCGGCCTCTGTCCAACAAGCCGGCACCCCTGGAAATGACCCCTTTCGTACTGTACCGGAGAGAGGGGAGCGGTGCTTGGAGGAAGAGACATCTAGTTTGGGGGGGGGGGGGGTGCTGCCCAATTAGTTTCCTATTCTCAATGAGCTGTACAATACTGTAAATGATGGGTTCCACTAATTACAAGATGGTTTTTGCAAGCTAGCCCGGTGTCTGTGGCGTCTCTGTGGGGCACCAGCTGCTGTCTGTGCAAAGGGAGATCAAGAGGGGATGGGAGCGCCTCGTGGACCCTGAACTGCAGCAAGCCAGGGGGACCAGGTCGACAGGCTCTCCCTCGCATCAGTCCACGTGCATCACCTGGAGGTGCCAGGCCGGCTCTGTGCCCTGCTTGCCCTCCTCGCCCCTGATCCGTGGCACCGACCTGCTGTGGCTGCCCCAGGCATGGTGGCCGCAGCCTGCTGATATTGCACTGCCGATCTCTTGGTGCTCCTCGCTCACCCATGCAACAGCACCCACTCCCCTAGCCTGGGCCACGGCACCCTTGCCGGATGCAGTCCTGGCCCCCCACACAACAGTGCATCCCCCTCCCATGACTATCTCAGCCCCCCGTTGTGGGCCTGGCCCCCTCACTGCACCACTCCACCCCCATGCCTTTCAGCTCTGTCCCTCCCCATCCACAGCTCCACCTGTCAACGTACCTCCCACCACGCCCTGGGCCCTTGACTAGTTCAACCCTTTACCAAAAACAGGAGTCCCAACTCAGTCCATGTACACAGTGCTACTGCGCAGTAAGGTGTCTACACATGCCTTACTGCACAGTGACTAATCGGGTGTCAATTTGATACCTGCATCATGCAGGTATCAAATTTATGCTCAAGTCAGCATAAGTCATCATATTTGCTGCGCAGTACGGGCATGCATGTGTAGACGTGCCCTCAGTATCTGAACAAATTAAGCTAAAGGCAGCTGATTGCATCTCATTGGTGTGCTGTTCCTGGCTTAACATTTTGAGAAGGTTATAGAGAAGCTGGGGAGGGTCCAGAGGTAGGAGACAAAATGGATAATGGGGTGGAAGGCAAGGTAGATGGGGAGAGGCTGAGAGAAGCAGGCATGTTCAGCTGGAAGAAAAGGAGATTAAGAGAGGAGGTGGCTGGGCACGATAGCAGCCTTCAAACATTTGAAAGGATGCTGTAAAGAACGAGGGGACACAGAAGGAAACAATTATGGAGCGATCTTGCTAACGTGTGGAACTCCCTGCCGCAGGATGTTGAGGAGCTGAACCTCGAACCAGGTTCAAAAAGGGGATTGGACACATTAGGCAGGTTGTCTCCATCAGTGGAGTGATAAATCAGGCTGCAACCTCCAAGTCCCAACCTCCCAGGCCTTTGGGGAGCTGTAGGGGAGAAGGGCAGGGGATGGGTCAGTACAGACAGACCCTGCAGAAATATCCTGCTCCGTGCCCTGCCGAGACACAGGACAGGGGACTGGAGGGGCCTGGCCCTGTCTTGGCTGCTGTGATGGTCTTTTGCTCCAAGATACTATTGCAGGAAACGACTGAGGTGGGGCACAGCGGAAGCAGTGAGAAGAGCAGGCCCGGGCAGGGGCCAGTCTGGTGCCCAGCCAGGTGGTTTGGAGTCCGGTAGCTACAGTGTTTAATGGCAACGTGAAGGGTTGAGCAACCCCTCTCGTGGCTGACACACACGGGCACACGCATGAAGGCTCAAGCAGCTCCTCACCTGGCTGACACACACGTGCACACACAGACATACCGAGATGTATACATGCCCACAGACACCCATGCATGCACTCACACACAGGCACACACATGCACAGACACACATACAAACATGCACATACACGTGCTCATGACATGCACATACCCCCCACACAAATGTGCACACAGACACGCAGAGATGCAAACACACACACACATGAAGACACACATACATGCACACACACACAGAGGCACATGCACATGCATACACACACACACACACACATACACACTCATGTGCACACACACACATGAATCCACACATGCACAGGCCTGAACACCAGCACATGCATGCACGCACACATGCTCACAGACATGCACACACAAGCACTCACACATGCATGCCCGCACACACATGCCCACACACAATGTGCACAGGCACACACAGATGCACATGCACACACATGCCCACACGCACACACACATACATGGATGTACTGTATACACAGACACACACACGAATCCACACATGCACACACCCCCACACATGCACGAACATGTGCACAAATGTGCATGCATGCATGCTCACAGACACACACGCGTGTACACACGCACACAGGCACCCCATTAAGCCATTTCGCAAACGTAACCAATAAATAAGACCTGGACTCTTCAAAGCACCCTGCCAACATACATTCACCAAATATCCCAGCTCCCACCTGAGGTTTGCATTATGCCCATGGGGGAAACAGAAGCAAAGGCAGGTCTTGTGACTCAGCCAAGGTCATACAGGGCCCCGGTGGCTGAGACAAGACTGGGCCGCTGAAGCCGTGACTCCCAGTCCCCAGAACACACCACCCCGCCCGGTGTGATAGTGACCCCGGGTTTACCATGGCTGCAAATGCACTAAATAAACTTTCCACCAGGCCTGGTCCTTGAGCACGATTCTGGGAGACGAGCAAGGGCCCCCAGCGGGGTTTAAGGCTGATGCCAAGGGCAGTCTAACAGGGTTTGGACAGGGCTGGTCTTGCCTCAGGCAGGAGTTGGACTAGATGTGACCCCTGAAGGTCCCTTCCGGCCCCACATCTCTATGATGCTACGATTCGATGATTTAATGAGATTTGCTTTCCCTAGAATCACAAATGGCAAAGCTCTGCTTACCCAGACAACCTCTGTGACAGCAATGCCAAGACCCTTCCCGCTCTCTTCTGCGCATACTGGTCCTTTCTGGTGTTTTCTGCAAGCCCCACTTAATGTCCAGGCTCTGTGGAACGTGGAGTCCTGCAGACATGAGTGGACAATACACAATGTTTAGGATATGACTGGGTCTGATGGAGGCTACACTTACCTGGAGCAAGGAAGTCATCGACCTGCAACAGAAGAGCCTACGAGCATTTCTGTCACTGTTCAACATGGCTCTGTGTTTTTGCACTACCTCGATTCAGCCTGGGCTGTTTCAGTGTGGTTGGTCAATGGGGAAAAGTCAATGGGGACCATTGTCTTCACTCTTGTGACCAAAGGCCACCTGGTACCTGGGAATGATTCATCCTGTTTTTCATGGGAGGGCTTGGAGACCTACCGAGAGCGGGGCTCTGTTTCATAGATTTCATAGACATTAGGGCTGGAAGGGACCTCGTGAGATCATCGGGTCCAGCCCCCTGCCCAAGGAGCAGGAAATCAGCTGGGGTCAGATCACCCCAGCGAGATAAGCATCCAAGACATGATCTATACACTGAGGATAGATGGCTTCTGTCCCCACAAAAGCTACAGATCGGGCAATTTCTAAAGGAAGCAAATAAGATCTCATGGTGCAGTCAGTGGGATGGACGAGGAAGATGGCACGCAGTTGTCTTGGGAGTTTATCTGCTGGTAACAGGAGTTTGATAACTGTCCGAGGGAGGAAACAAGAATAAAGACAGCAGAGACAGAACCAAAGCTAAGTCCAGTCTAGCCAGGCAGGCGCCAAACTCCTAACTGGGAGCGTGTCTAAATTTAATGCACATCAGCTTAATGTGCATTAAGCGGGTTTAGGCAGGTGTCTACACGTGTAGGCATTAAAGCACATTAGCGCTTTAAAGTTACTAAAGTTAGTCCCAAGTCAGTCCACACATACAGCATTAATGCACTTTAATGCATCTACACGTGCATTACTGTGCTTTAACTATTTGTGCCTCAATTTGATACCTGCATTTACAAATTGCCCATGATTAGCCCAAAATCACCATTTTAAAGCACATTAAGGGCACACACATGTAGACACACGCCCTAATGCATCTTAAATTTAGGTTAATACCACCTTAAAGCATCTTGTGTAGATGTGGCCTGGTGCAGCTCATTCCTAAGGGCACAAGGCACAAAATAGCATCGTGCAGGGAGCTAATGCAGATCAAGTGAGCACTGAAGAGCAGGCAGCAGAAGGGCCATGGTGATCCAGCCTGGTTCACCCCAACACTGCACTGAGAGGCCGTGCAGATGCCAGGACCCAAATGACTCTCTCTGCACTATGCTGCTCTGTGGAGCTGCACCAGATCTGGCGTGAGCCTCTCTGCTTGGCACGGCTCCATGTGGTGGAGACCCCACATGCTTTGAGCAGGGGGTTGGACTAGACGTGACCTCCCGAGGTCCCTTCCAGCCTTTATTTTCTATGATTCTGTGACACACCCCAAGGTTAAGGAGCTGGGAACAGCTACTAGAAGGCAGGGTAGATTTGCACCTTAGGCCTCTGCCACATGTTACATCTATCATGCAATTTACTGGTTCATTGCACAATAAATGTAGACTGGCCATATGTGCAAAGTAATTATCACACCATAAAAGTGTCCATCCAGCTACAAAAAGAACCAAACAGCTACAATGTTAGTGCTTAAAAATGTGTGACAATTTTATAGCTGGTTTCTATCCAAGGAAGACCCATACAGACCAACCAAAGTGGATAGATAGATAGATAGATAGATAGATCTCACTGCTCACTAACCCTGTCACCATGTCTGCATTTCCTTCCTAGCCATTATCTGGCTTCACCAAAGAGAAGCAGCTAAGGACAGATGCCCACATGAACAAGGTGAAATGCATGACATTGCAACATAAGTTGGAGCAGAATTCACTAGCCCACTCCATTGACTGCTCTGTTGCTATGTTCATTCCTCAGCCTTGAATCTTGGCCAGCCCTGGGGGGAAGGACAAGGGGAGACATTGACATCCCTGCTTTGATACGTGCCGGCTGAGACGGGCTTGTGGAAAGCTTCTGAATGGCAGCAGGACTCCGGGCTTACACAGAAAGGGTGACGGGATGGAGTAACATGCCCATGCCACAAAGGAACATCACTATTGCTGAGTGATTTATCTTCAGATTCAGCTGCTGGTGAGCACAGCCCTATGGTCAAGAGGTTCTGGTCCTCAAGGCTGCTTCATATTTCAATGACATTCACCACAGTACAGGAAAAACCCACGTGAGGATTATATAGGAAAGAACAAGAGAGAGAGGCAGCCATGCTAAGGGACCCTCAGCAAGAGGTGGTGATGGCACCTGGACAGAGCTTTCTGTGCAGAGAATGCATCCCAGCATCCTTGGGTCTTTCTAGTACCATGCGGCAGAAGGCCTAGGGGGCTGGGCTTGGCCAACCCAATACAGTTGAGCCCAGTTTTACTTGGCAGGTGCCCAAGTTAAGCAGGAGAAAGCCTGGCAGTGGGAAGAAGACAGACAGGTCATTCCTCTGGGGAGTAGGTGGCTTCCTGGGTTGGACCTGGTTGCAGTCATGGTCTGGGCTGTACACTGACTAGACCCCAGGCACAGTGGGAAAGCAGCTGATGGGGATGTTTCAGCTGGGGTCCATCTGTTGGGAAGAGAGCCGGAGGACTGGGATGACCGAGTTGAAGAGCCATGGGGAGGAGCCTCTTGTGGACCCTGATGTTGGGGGAGGCAGGAGGGTCATCCATGACCTGGAGAGGGGAAGTCAGGGGCCAGAACTGAGGAAGCACCTTCCAGCAGAAGGGCAGATGGGTGGGAAGCTGCCACTGGAGACAGTCTGGGACTGGTACACTGAAAGGGGGTGAAAGCCTAGGCTCCTAGCTGGCCCCCAGACGATGGGGCCAGTCAGGAGCCCAGCCTCCATACCCTTCAAATCCAGATGCAGGGAAGCAGAGAGCTGTTTCTGGTTCCTGAAGTGACCTACAGTCATGTTTTCTCTGTAGAGAGCAGCATTTAGGTACAACCGTGTCCATGCTCACAGCTGCCAACTCAGGGACATTTTTTTTACTGACAATCTGCAAACTTTTTACTGATGACCAAACTTTTTTACTAACCAATGTTTTACGTAACACCCTTGCACTCTGATTCCCCCTGACTGCACCCCACAACACGCCACCCCCAGCCCCCACCCCCAGTTCCTCCATCCTGGCAGGAACTCCCACCCATTGTTTCTCCTCCCTTCTGGCCCCGCAGCTCCAGCCTGCTCACACCACCCACCTCCCTGTCTCACCCAGTGCCTCAGAGCATGTGGGGCCACATGGCCCTACCTAGTCCTACTTCAAGGAGAGCCGCTAGTACAGGCAGGACATGACCAACAGGACACAAAGGCAGAGGTAGAGAACTATGGAGGCTCCCATGGGCCACAGAGATCTGCTGGGGAGTTGTCTGCTCTGTCTGCCCATCAACACTTGCATCCAGCCTGATTCTGATGATGGATCTTCAATCAAGCTTGTGGTTTTTTAGTTTTTTACAGTTCACGATTTTTACAGACTTTATGGAGCAAAGCTACAAGAAGCCTTGGACATATCTCTTCCCTCCCTGCCTTCCCACACCATCCATTAGCAAAGGGGCAATCTGCCACGAAGAGACGGGTGCGTACATGAGCTAATCTCAGTCTCTAGCCAGTGATTTTTGATACAGCATTTGTGTCTCCACCACAGCTGTAACCCAGACCATGCTTGCCACTCCCAGGGTATCAGAGCATGAACTCCTTTGGGGCGTGGGAACAGCTGCCCAGTCCATGCTCTGCCACAGTAGTTGAGGTTACATGGGGGAGGACTGGTCATGGGGTATTTCCAGGAAGGGCAGAGGAGAACCATAGGCTCTGACACCTGTTTCCAGTAGTCTAATAGCCCAGACATGGTAGCTAGCCATGCTCAAACTTATTACTTGAGCAGGGAGAGGGTGTTGCTTATGAGGCATGGTCTTTATTTTTGCCTATGTCTGAAGCGTTAAAACCACGTTGCACTTCTGGTGAGCTCAAGGCATACACCTAGGCCCTGAGATATATGGAAGGGCAGATTGTTATGACACTAAAAACAAGCAGGACGCTGGCATGAAGCTACTTTTCCCCAGTAGATCTATGTCTGAGTGCATGGGACTTTCTGTGTGCCCTTCTCTGTGCCCGAGATGGGACCCTATTACTGACTTCATCTAGGTTTTAAGCTCAAGCAGAAGAACCTTGTGCTTTAAGCATAAGAGATCCCTTGTGCCAGCTGGCATTGAAGTGATCAGCATAGGAAGAGATGATCTTTTCAACTCCATTCCCCAAAGGTCGATGGGTCATTAATTCCCACCCACTGGGACTTGTCAGTCCCATTCTAGAAAAAAAAATTGGAGCATTTAAAAGGAGCGAGAACCAACTAAAATTCTGTAGAAAACCCATCAAGAATCTATGCAGTTGACCCAAGAGCAAAAACTTTTCTACGGTTTTGGAGGATGTTAGGAAAAACATGTTAATTCTCCCAAAGGTTCTCTGGGAATCTTCCAAAGGTCGCAGCTTAACGTATAATCAGCAATGACTGCAAATCTGAAGTGAGGGCAGCATTAACCAAGATGGATCATGGCCCCCTGACACTGGGGTATATCAGAGATGGATTTACAGCAACGTGATTTTCCTTCTTATGTGCACGACTGGAGCAGTATGGGATAAATGTGCATGGCTCTACTGACATCAATGGGGATTTGCCATTTTACGTCAGCTGAAGCTCTGGCCCACTGACTTCGGCAGAGTCACTCCAGGCATATGGAAGCATAAGTGAGGAGCATCAGAGCCAAGAAATCCAAGGTGCAGTCGTCTCCAGCTTGAATACCCATCAAGAGGATCGACAGGCCGTCACTGTCTTGTCTTGACTCCACGAAATGCACGTCTGGGCGTGGCAGATCTCCCTTACGCTCCCCAACGCGTTCCTACCAGGAGCTACATCAACCCCTAGAACATGACACGTGTCCCTATCAGGAAATATAGCAAACCCTGGAACATGACAACATTAACATTTATTTGAAAAGGGCATAAAGATGAAAATATCCTGACCAAAATGTGACCGTAAACCATTCAGACAATGTATGCTCCCCCTCAATCTCAATCACCGTCACAAAAATGATACAGCGCTCCCGAAGTACACAAATGGAAACGTACACATGCACCTACACCAGGTTTATATAAATATATTTATATCATATGTATATATATATACAGTATCTATACTAAACGTGAACATACAAACAGGGCAATTACAATGCACGTGGGAGACATATACAAGATGGAGTTCATGTTTCCAGGTTCAACACTTAGTGCAAATAGAGCTACCTATTTCCGAGAGGGGAGAAGGAGGAAGCATCTCAGTGTGGGCTGAGAACAAAACATGCTGGTTTTGTGCAAGACAAGAGTAGAAGGGAGATGGTTTCAGTCTCAGCTGTGACACCGCTCAGCACGTTCAGAGGCAGCTCAAGCATCACATGGCGCCAGTCAAGAATACAAGGATCACCACTATCAGATCAATGACTGGGGAAAGGTAGGGTTGAAGGGACCTCAAGGGATTGTCTAGTCTACTCCTCTTTACTCCGAGGCAGAATTAGGCATATCAAGACCACCCCTAACAGGCGCCCGTTGAACCCTGGATCATAGGAAAGTAGGGCTGGAGGGGACCTCATCTAGTCCAGCCCCCTGCTCAAGGTAGGATCATCCTTGACTAAACCATCCCAGCCCAAAACTATAATGATAGGGATTTCTGGGGTGACCTGGTCCAGGGCTTAACTCTCCTCAAAGCTGGATGTTTCTTTCCTAATATCTAACCCAAACCTCCTTAACCATGAGTTAAGCCAGCTACTGTTTTATCATGGAGAACCACTAATAGTTGATGTGTCCTTCCTCTATCTACCTTGGACAAGTGGAAGCTTCCCATCAGCCCTTTCTCTTCACAATTCGCTCCTCCAGCCTCTCCTCCAGGAAGTTTTTCAATCTTGTTCTCCTTTGGACTCTCTCCACTTTGCCGATACTTTATATATATATATATATATATATATACACACACACACACACACACCATTTTTTTGTAAAGTGAGGTGCTTAAACTTGGTGCTGAGGCCTTACCAGACCTGGGTAGAGCAGAGTAAATACCTCCCATGTCCTATGCAGCACTCTCTCATTAACAGATCCCAGAATAGCAATTGCCTGTTTTGCGACTGCATCCTATTCTTGACTCATAATCAGCATGTGATACACGGTTATCTCCAGAGGCTTGTCTGCCACGGTGCTGCCTGCACTGTCCATTTGACTTTGAGTTTCTTTCCTTCTTAAGTGCAGCACTTTGCACTTGTCTTGACTAACTTTGAGATTGCAGGCCTGATCTCCAGTTGATCCAGGTCTTTGCTTGGCTTTGCATCCAGTTTGAATGACAAGTCCTTTCCTCCAAAGTACATCCCATCACCCCCAGCCCAGTGCCTTCTGCAAATTTTAAGCAGGCCCCACAGTTCCCTCCCCCAAGTACCACCTGAACTATAATCACCCCTTCCTGGGTGTGTCTACACAGGATTTACACCAGCTTAAATTTACTGCGCAGTAAGCAAGAATAGGCCGGCATCTACACGTGCAGGCATTAAAGTGCATTAACGCTGTGTGTGGAATGACTTGGGACTAAAGTTAGTCCCAAGTCAGTCTACACGCACAGTGTTACTGTGCAGTAAGGAGTCTATACGTGTGTTATTGCGTAGCAACTAATGGGGCATAAATTTGATACCTGCATGATGCAGGTAGCCAATTTAAGCGCAAGTCAGTGTAAATCACCATATTTGCTGCACGGTACAGGCATGCACATGTAGACGTGCGTCCATGCTGTGCAGTAATTTTGGTTACTGCGCAGTAAATACACATGTAGGTGCGTCCCCTGTGAACAAAAGGGTTGGGTCTATGAAGTCTAAAGAGACCGACATTATTATATAGCAGATGGGTTTCAGCACTGGTGTTCAGACTGAACCTAGCTCGCTGTTTGCTTTGGCTAGTTGTAATTCCATAGCTTTAATTAAAAAAAAAAAAAAAAAGTTTATTTTCAATCCATTAAAAAAAAAAAAGAAATTTTCATTGCGTAATTTTGATTTGCAGCTCCTAGGTCCTCATTTATTTGAGGAAAATGTCCATGCTTTCCGCCCTCATCCTGAAAAATGCCTAAGTGCTGTTCTGCGTTTCTCTTTTCAGGCAAGAGAAAGTAGGTCAACAAGGAGTGAAAATGTTCACTTTAATGAGTGAAAGTACTTTTCCCTCTCATATTTTATTTATTTATATTTTTTTAACTTTCCTTGAACACTTTTCAAATAGGAAAAGGAGGAGGAGAAAGAGTTGAAAACAGAAAAAAGAGAGCAAATGGGGGAGAGGGGGCAGAAATCTTCCAAACTTGCCAGGAAAAATCTTGGGGATTTGTTTTATTTTGCTTTGAACTGTTCTAGCTTTAAAAAAATACTTGAAAAATTGTTAGACTAAAAATAACTAAAAAAAATGAAAATACACCCCCCCCCACCCAACCAATAACAGAAGACCCCTCTCAGATGACCTGTTTCTCGGTTCCCATCAAACGTAACCAGCAATATAGACCCAACTTGTTCCTCTAGCTTCTTCCCTCCCTTTATTCTGGAGCTCTCGTAGACAGCGGCCTTTCCTTGGGTATAATAAAATCGGTACGAGTGCCAGGTAGCAGCACTGGGGCTGAGGGTTACGGGCGCTGCCTGTTTAACCACCTGTCAGTGTTCCCAGTGCACTGATATGGGGTAGTCCCGATTCGGGGGTTACTACTGCTCCCTCAACAATCGCTCGCCTGTTTTGCACACCCCTTTGTGAGCTGCCAAACCGAGCCAGGGCTTCGATGGTCCATAGGGTACATGATGGAGGAGGCATCGAGGGACTGGCTGGGAGGTTGGGGGTTGGAGGGGTCAGGAGGTCTCAGGTTTGGGGGGCCAGGAGGATTCTGCACGGTGTCTTGTTGCTGCCCCCTCTCCATGAGCTGAGCAAAGAGGCAGGGGACAGGATCAGCAGTGGTCGACTCCTGCACCCATGGCAGCTGGGGTTTGCAAGGGCAGCGGTTTTCAACCTGTGGTCCGTGGAGCCCTGGGGGTCTGAAGACTATGTCTACGGGGTCTGTGAAAGATGACTATGATCAATCCAAAGTGCTATCAGGGCCTCAATTAACAACCAGGATGACCAGGCAGGGCTGGGCGATGACTTCTCTCCAGCCCGCACTGCCCCACACCCCAGCCATCCAGGCCTGGGGGAACACAGTGGGGCCCTGAGCCTCCACTCCTGGACAGGACAGGAGATGCCAGCCCCTTGCAGCTGGCCACGTGCCTCCTTCAGCTGCCCTTCATCTGGTGGCTACTCTTATCACACCACACTGCTTCAGCTCATCTCCCTCCACCCCACCCCGGCTGGACCCGAAGAGCGATGTGACGCTCCTGCGCAGTTGTAACTAGCTACCGCGCAATCAGCATCACCAAGGAGGTATTTGGGGACACTACTGGTTACCGCACAGTCATTTAGTATTTGTGTGTGCAAGTATTAAGTGACTGTGCAGGAACAACCATGCGGGGACCGTCTCGTGTCTGTGCAGCCACCGGGTCCGAAACATCCTTTAGTTCATATTCCCAAGCCGGCAGATTGCAGCTTGGCAGCACCTTGTTAAAGTGCTTTGGATTTGACTGTCCATTTGTCCTGCAACGGGCCTTGTCCGCTATGATCCTGCCACGCGGAAGCAAACGCAACCTCAGATGAGACTTCTCCATTCTGGGAACGTTTGAGACCCTTTTTTGCACAGGAACAAATGGCGGCGCAAGGCACGGGGCAGAGACAAACCAGATCCGTCCAAGTTGCTGTTCGCTATTTCATTGCAATGCCTAGAAAACACCTGGTGTTTTCTGGGAAAAAGGAGCTCTTGGTGAAAGGCCTTTTTTTTTTTTTTTTTAATAATATATTTTATGTTCCAGGTCATATTAGCCAAATCATGTCGACTGAGCAGAACTCAATTGCTCCAAAAACCGTATCGACTGAACACAATCGTTCTAAACACCATGTCTGGCTCTACAACAGACAAGCATCCTCCATCCTAGGCTCTCACCCTGGGATTTCAGATGCTCCCAAATCCCTTGGCAGGCATCCTACATGCAGGCCCAAGCCCGGATGTCTTGGGGTTTGGATGCCCCCCAGATACTACAGGCAAGCATCCTCCATCCCAGACTCTTTAGTTCAGCATTTCAGATACTTCCTACGCTCAATCTTAGCTCACAAGAGGCCGGTCTAATTCAATTCCCCTCCCAGCCATCCAATTAGGGGGTGGGAGAATCCCCAAATCCACACCTGAAGCCCTCCGGGAAAAGCAAACAGATCAGACACGGCATTACCGACGCCGCTAAGGCAAAAGAAAAACCTTCACCAATAGAAACAAACCCTCATTCGCAGACCTTCTGGCCTCTATAATGCAGCGAAAAGAAAGAAGTCGCCACTCCAACGGGTGTCTAAATTCCCTCCGCCGCTCAGGGAATTGTAATAAGCTGCAAAGAGAGAAGCGGTGTGGTCTGGGCTTGGCAACTAGCAAGCTAACCACGCGCTTAACCGGCAGCCGTGCAAGGGTTTAAAATGTCCAGCCCTAGAGCTAAAAGTGACCTGCAAAGAGGGGGGGAAGCGGGAGAGAAATACAACAGTCTCCTCTTCAAAATGAGCCATGATGATTTCCCAAGGGTATTTCCAGAGGAGGAACATTTTGTCTTGTGTTTTTTCACAAGAAAACATGAATCTGTTCTTTAAATGTTTCGCCTCCCCGGAGGGAGAGGCAAAAGGCTCTCACTTGGGAGAAAGGCTTTTACTGGCAAAACTTTGCTACCATCTCCCTTTCAATTAAGGTATGAAAAAGCTCCAGTCCCTTCCACTTCTGGTCCTCCAAAGAGACTCCCCCCACAAAGACTGGAAAGAAAATTTTGATTTTAACAAAGTAAATGAAAGAAAATAATCATCCTTCCAAGCCCTTTGCAAAACAAAGCAAAATACCGGATGTCAAGGCATGAAACCAGTTTTTCTATGTGCTTTGCAAGTCGCCCTTAAGGGCGTTTTCTTCTGTGTATACCTAAGGGGGAAGATTTTTAAGGGCTGCATCTTCATGAGATCCACACTAGATCGAGGACCAGAGGCTTAATCCACAGTCTATTGGAGACTGCAGTGGGGGGGCTACAGACCCCTCAAGCCCCCTCCTCTGTTACTGACTGTAACATGGAGGGGGTCGAGTTGAGAATGATCTAAACAAGGGTGTTTCTGCTCCTTTACTGGAAGGATTTTGCTGATTGTGGAGAATCGCCCTTAGCTTCTAGCAGTATAGATCTCATGAGACACAGCAGAGCTGTTCGGGTTCCTTCCACTTGCCCCATACAACGAGCCATGGGGATCCATTGCCATTTTGCTTGACAACTTGCAGGAAGACACTACCGTGGAAGAGGGATCTGCCCTGCGGGATCCCATCTGTGGATCACAACTCCTGTCTCATCGTCACTGCAAACGCCAACACACATCCACAGAGCAGGAACCTGGGGCACAAAAATCCCTTGCAGTGAACCAAGACGCCTCGTCGGCTCTCCCCGGGCGGGCCTGCCGCTCGCTTGGAGGTTACACACCGCTCTGTGCCATTGAAAGGTAACCGCGATGCACCTTTGCACTCTTGGGGCCATGCACATTTGGCTCCAGCTACACCGGCGCTAGGCAGGATGTCGTGCTAGGGGGTGACAAGTCCCTTTCTGGCTATCAAACCTCGAGCTTCCACCAAAAGCACCTTGCTAAGACCTCCCTCCAGCCTGACCCCGGGCAGGTGGCTGTGACATCCCGGCTGGCGTGGCGTAGCGGAGGTCAGCGTGCCAACTGCATCCTTTTTGGAGTAGGAACATCTAACCCCCTGCTCCCCAGCTAGATAAAGAAACCTCTTGACCTGCTTCTGCCAAAAACATCCACCCGCCCCGCATGGTCCCTGGTCCCTGAACCCGTGAAGCTGCTGTGGGGAACCACTCGAGTCTCCTGCATCGTCAGCTGGATAAGAAGAAAGCAAGCCGCCGCGTACAGGACATTCAAGTGACTGAGGTTACTGAAGAGTCCTGGGGGCATTCTCCGTCCATGTGGCTCTGCAAGAGGGAAGATGGGTTGCAAAGTTCTCCGAAGAACGGAGCTCTTACGATGGTCATCGGCTTCCTCTCCATTTTCGTCCATGCAGAAGGCGCCTCCTCTCACCCTTCCCGGCTCCGTCCGAACTGGGGTCTGGCCTTCCCTCGGCACCTGCTCCGCCTCTCAGTACACGCACAGGTCTGGGAACTTCATCTCGTACACAGGGATGGAGTGGTTCTGGGGCTGGCCGTAAGCAGCGGTGATGGTGCCCGAGGGGCTGGGAGGGGGTCTGAAAGGTCAGAGAGAGGCAAGGTTGTTTTAAAGGGGCATTTCCATGCTAGATCCCACCTGAAAACCAGCTGCTTGACCCAAGGCGGGGATGTTCCCTGCTGTCGGGGAGGACCAGAGGAGCTCAGGCCCATCACTGTAAACCCTGATGCTGCACAGGCATAGGTTTTAGATTCATAGATTCATAGATTCATAGATGTTAGGGTCGGAAGGGACCTCAATAGATCATCGAGTCCGACCCCCTGCATAGGCAGGAAAGAGGTTGAAGACCCCCAGGGTAGGGGAGAGCACCACCTCTCTTGGGAGCCCGTTCCAGACCTTGGCCACTCGAACTGTGAAGAAGGTTCACATGCACAACTCCATAGCAAAAGCAAATGGAGATGGGAAAGGGCCAAAATACCCAGCTGAAACCACCCACCGCCCGGGGACTCAGGAGAGAACCACCAGCAGATGAGAAGCAATGGGGACAACAGCAAAGCCAGACCCCAGGGAAGATCCACCCCCTGATCGACCCTTCCCAGGCTCTGCACTGTCCCCCTTGCACACGGGGTCTGGTGCTAGAAGCTCCAAGGGGGAGAGAAGCCGGTTGTCTCCCCTATCCTGATGGCCTGGGCACATCTCCAGCACCAGAGCAGATCATGCCCTGTCCCCAGCCCCTCATCATCCATCCCCATAGCCGTGTCCCAACACACAGGTCACTTATTCACGAGGTTCACAAGTCACTCACACGGCTTCCAGCAGCGCTGCCCACTCCCAACGGCAGCTATTAGCCAGACAAGCCTCGACACATTGCTAGGCATTGCTAAGGAGGGCTCCGAAGTCACCGAAACAACGACCAAAGTATAACAGGCAGCTACATTGATACAGGGCTCTTTATATAGAGTCCTAGAGTCGGAGATGGGCTGGAAGGGACCTGCAGAGGTCACATCTAGTCCAACCCCTCTGAGGCAGGATCAGCCCTGTGCAAACCACCCTGTACAAACCCACTGGGCAAAATTACACAGTCAGGCCTGACCCAGCACCAGGCATCGCACCCGACCCTGCCGCAGGGATAGGCGGGGGAACAGGGTGGTTATCGTCCTGCTTCTCTAAAAGGTGGTTAATAGATGCTCGACAGATCCCAGGCCGTGCCTCTGCTACAGGCACCTCCACAGTGCATACCCACCTGAGCAAGGGGTACAATTCCTTCCTGACCCCACATATGGCAATTAGTCTGATCCTGAGCAAGGGGCAAGACCCTCTAGCCAGGACCCTCTGGCTTTGGTGCCAGCAGGAGCATTAGCACAGCCCAGTCCCCATCCCCAGCCTGGGCTGTAGCTGAGGGAGGCTTAAAAACCCCCTGACACATGGAGCAGAAAAGGTGGGGAGGGGGCAACTAGCAAAGCCCAGAAGCCTGCAAAATCCTCATAGCAGAGCACAGGCATTGCTGCACCTAGATCATCCCCGACCAGTGGCTGTCCACCCTCTTCTCAAACACCCCCAGTGATGGATAGTCCGCACCTTCCCCAGGTGTCTATTCCACTGGACATTTGCTTGCCAGGAGCCCCCCAAAAGGTCACTAGATGCAACAACAGAATCAATACGCTGCTAGCACTGCCTTGCAGAGGGATCCCATGGAGACCCCCAGCCCCAGCCTGACCCTGATCCTGTCTCCCCAAGCAAATTCTGCCACTCACCGGATAGTGATCTCGAAGATCTGGTTCAGCTTGCTCTGTAGCAGCGTCGCCTGCAACAACAATGGGGGACGTTAGCCGGAGGCAGCACCCAAGAGGAGTGCTCCTTCCAAGGGTCGTGCACAGACACACAGCTTCAGGCCAGTGTGAGCAGGGTGCTGCTGTACCCCCACCCTCCCAGCCGGCATGCAGGCCACGTGTGGGGGTATCTAATGTTGCGAAACGGCTGAGCAATGCAGGCAGCAATGCAGGCAGCAATGCAGGCTGGCAACTCGTGTGGGGGCATTTTTTCACCCAAGTCAGCACACGATCAGCCCAGAGGGGCTGCCCTGCTGGATCTCCCAGAGGAGATGGGTCCAGCCTCCTAGCAGTGATGTGTCTTAAAGTTTCCCAGGAATAGTAACAGAGTCCTAGAGCTGTAGGGCTGGCAGGGACCCGCAGAGGTCACATCTAGTCCAATCCCTACCTGAGGCAGGGTCAGCACTGTCCAAACCAGCCCACACAAATCTATTTTTTAGCAAAATTTTGCAGTCAGCCCTGACATAGCACCAGGCATTGCGCCCGACCTTGCCCCAGGGAAAGCAGGGGGACCATGGCAGTCAACGTCCTGCTGCTGCAAAGGGTGTTAATATATGTACGATTCCCTGGCCTGAATGACCAGATGCCTATTGCCAACCTCTGGTATCACTCAAAACATGGATTCACCCCTTGGGACCTGCAGAGAGACCCCTTAACCCTCTGCCGTGGGCAGAGCGCTCGTCGTTCACCTCGGACACTGCAGCACTTGTGCCGAAAGGTCTCACACCGGGCACGGCTCGAGAGCTCTTGTGCCTTGTTCAGCGCTGGGAGCCGAATGGCCGCCTCATCTTCGATAACTATCTGACCCCCGTGTTGCTGCAGGGCTCGAGCTTGGAGCCCACCACCACAACCACCTGTACTGTCCCAGTTTGAGGAGTGGACCCAGCGGGAGCAGTAGTGGGGTGTCACGGGGTCCCCTTTGCGGTGCATCTTGCTGCGGTCGTCTCCCTCCGGAGCCCGCCGCGGGGCCGAGCAGGCGGGCGACTCACCCGGGCGCCGCAATGGGCCGCGATCTCTTCGAAGGGAGCCTTCTGGAACTTCTCCACCACCTGCCGCCGGCGTTCGCGCTCCTGCTCCTCCACCGCCACGCTGTCTACTGGAGCACACAAAAGAGGGGAGGAAGGAGACGGAGCAATGGGGAGGGGACTGATTCTAGCCCTAGCACCCAGGGGGGATCATGCCCAGGCCCGGCCCTTCATGCACCTAATGGCACACTCTGGGCCAAAGGGAGCAGAGAGGATGCAGAGCTCATTCCAGCTCCAACATGCCACGATCTCCCCTGCCACGGCAAGGTACGGCAAGGGTACTGCCTTTCCCCGTGCTCCAAAGCACGTGGGCAATGTTGGGAGCTGCAAAGCATGGTCCCACGGGGGCATCCAGACAGCAAAGCACCCAGGATCAAGGGCCACTTTAATGAAGGAGCCAGGAGGGTTTAGCTTGCAGACAAACAGATGGAGATGAGACAGGACAGCAGGTTCCCAGTCCCCGAAAGGTCAGGTAATGGGTTTAAACTGCAGCAGGGCAGGGATAGATCGCTCTTGGGGAAAAAAATTCCTGACTGAGAGCAGCAGGATGGTTGAACCAGCTGCCCAGGGGAGCTGTGGCGTGTCCTTCCCTGGAGACTGGGCTGGGCGTCTGTCTGGGCTGGGGTAGCCTGCGGCTAGGCAGGGGGCTAGACTAGATGGCCTGCTCCCAGGACTGTGCTCAGACTCCCCCACTCCCCAGGCCCAAAGGGGCCTCTGCATGAGAGAGCTGGGGCATGCAGGCATGCAAAGGCATTTGCATTGCTATAACATCCTGGCACTGCAGGTTGGGGAGGGCTGGACGGTCTCTAGGGCTCCCTGCCTGGCTCATTTAATGGCCAGTTCATTAAAAAGCACCTTGATGCTTCCAATCCGGAGCAGAACAGCCACAAAGCAGGAACACGCGTGTGCCAAAGAACACACACACACACACACACATGCACATGCACATGCACATGCGCGCGTGCCCTCCACCTTCCCTGCACATGCAGTCCACTCGATAGCGTACCAATGGCTTTCTTCAGTGTTTCATATGTGATCTCCTCCGCGGGTGCTCTCTAGGGGAAGAAAACAAGCAGCATCATCACTGTCGGGCAGCTAGTCTGGCAGCAGGGGAAAGCGGGGTCGAGCTCCAGCGGTCCAGCTATGCACCAATGCCTAGTTCTTGCTGCAGTAGGCCTCACCCCCTAGAAAGCAATGCCTTTTGGGAAGGCATCTACCCGCACCTGGGCTTCATACAGGAGTGAAATGCAATGGTCTGATAGAAAGGTCAGATAAACTGGCCTTGAACTCTATGGACCCATGAAGGCACCAACACCTAGAATAGTGTAGGCCTTATTAAGCCATGCATTAATTATAGAAATCAAAGAAAAGTTGGGTTAGAAGGGCCCTCCAGAGGTCATATATAGTCCAACCCTCTGCCTGAGGCAGGATGAGCCCTGTGCAAACCACCCCAGACAAATCCATCATCTAACCTATTAGTAAAACTACACCGTCAACCCTAACAGCTCAGCTCAGTTTAGTACCTACGATGCACCTAAACACTAACACACGTGACCGGCTGGGACGTGGCACCGGGCACGAGACTTGCAGCGAGGTACAGGCCAGAGGCAGGTAGTGCCCCCCAAGCCTAATACAAGCATCAAGGGCTCCTAAACCCCCTTTTATCCACAGATCAGAACAAATGCACATCTGCAGCATCCACTTTGCAAATACTAAAGCACACATCCTCGTTGTCACCAGATAACCTGACCTGCACGCTCAGTAGGAAAGCATGTTTACCAGGCCCCCTGATCCTGATACATCCCATCCTTACATTGGGGTCCTGTCCAGTATTATCAATCACGCCATAACCGCAGGCCTTGTGAGGAGTCCAAACAGTCTAACCGCATCGTTTTCCCAGCGCTTTCTAAGCACAGACTCATCGAAAAGTAGGACTGGAAGAGACTTTTGACAGTCACATCTAGTCTAATCCTTTGCTCGAGGCAGGATCAATTCCAACCGAACCATCCCAGAAAAATCCTTGTGTGACCTGTTACTAAAACCACACCATCCTCCCTGCTGCACAGCTACAAGGCATATTGCCCAGAGACACCAAAAGCACCTGCATCTGCTACCGGTAGAGTAGGGGGGTGAGGGATGCCTATGCCCTGCTGCTACAAGGGTTGCTAAAATGCACCCAAGAGATCCAAGAAAGAGGGCCGCACCCCTGCTACAGAGGAAGGCAAAACCTCCATAGTCTGCACCGATCTGACCGTGAGATAAAACGCCTTCCTGATCCCAAATGTGACGATCGGTCTGACCCTGAGCAGAGGCAAACTAAACCCTCCAGGTTTTAGTCCAGCACTGGCAAAGCCCAGACAAAATCCCCAATGATGGCTGCACGGTGAATAAACCGCCCCGGACACATGTAGCAACAGGCGAGGAATGTATGCAATGCAATACATATGCAACGTATGGTATCGCCTAGCTCCATTCACAGCAAGGCTACTTTGGTCAATGCCTTTAGCAAAACCTGAGTGGCATCGTGCATGGGTGGGGCTCGGTGTGGGGATCCTGCCTCTTCTGCACAGCTGGAGGGAACAAGCTGGATTGTCTCCATGCTGGGATGCAAGGGAGGACCAAGTGCAAGTCACCCCAGGGAGCAGGGGCAGGGGGACTTCCACCTATCTTTCGACTGCAGAAAACCCCTGGAGCCATTCTGTTGCAAAGCACGCAGCTGGGCGGGGGGTTGGATGCTGCTGGGTTGATCTTGCGAATCCTGCGTAGGTGTCGGCACGCCTGTGACAGTGCTAATGTTGTGTGGCACCCTTGAAAAGACCTCATGGCACCCCGGAGCATTGCAAAGCCTCCGGACTTGCTGCCCACCACACCCCGAGCAAGTGCCCCCCTGCCACGCCAGCCAGCCCCGTGCAGGGAAAGGCTCAGAGAGCTGTGCGCTGATGCAGCCAGCCACAGCATCCACCCTCCGCTCCCCTCGGGCCCCGCCGTGCCAGGACGGTGGCAGAAGAGGGGTACCTCCTCCTTCTCAGGGCTGTTTCTCGACTCCACTTCCACCTGCAGGGAAATGGTCTCCCCGATGCTCTTCCTCTTAGACAAGCGATCTTCATCTGGAAGGCAAGGAAAAGGCCACCTCGTCAGCAAGGCAGGGGTTGGGAAACATCTTCCCCCTCCCTGTCCCCCCTGTTTGGGACAGCGGGCAGGAGACAGCAGAGCTCGTTCCTTCCCACCCTGGGGCACATAGCTCCCTTCACCGCAGCATGCGGGCACGCGCCGGTATCCTGCTCTTCCAGCATCCTGTGAAGCTGGGCCCTGCTGCTGTCCCCATGTGGCAGATGGGACATGGAGGCCATGAGACACCAAAACCCTATTTCACCTCTCAAGCGCCTGTGTGGAAATAGGGGCCTGAGTGCTTTCCCCTTCCACCCTGCTCGAGCCCCTGAAAAGCCATTAATGTGCCATCATATACCATATTTTCCACATACCACACCCCCACCCTCAAATAAGACACATGCCTGGTTTTTTTTGGAAGGCAAAAAGATTTTTTTCCCCAGAGTTACAGCTACACAGAGCAGGGACAGAGCCTAATCTTCAGCTCACTCACCCTCCCTTTTCCTGCTTAACCAAAAGCTGAAACCCTAGCTGCGGCTGAAGATTGGTGACCGTGGGTATTGCTACGATTTTGAAAAGAGCTATAAAGTCTGAAGGGTGTGAAATAAGAGAAAAGAGTAGGACCAGATAGCAGACAGCAAAACCAAGGGATAACACGGTCTAATGGCCATAAACTCCAGGAAGGCTGATTTAGACTAGACACAAGAAAAAAGTTCTTTACGGTACGAGTGTCCAGCGTCTGAAACGAACTCCCCCCAGAGGTGGTGCAAGCACCTACTCTGGACTTTTTCAGAAAACATGTGGATGTTTTTCTTGCTGGGGTCACTTGATCCCAGCTGACTTCCTGTTGACCCCAGGTGCCTCCCTGCCTATGGCAGGGGGGCTGGACTCCATGATCTCATGATCTCATGAGGTCCCTTCCAGCCCTTAATGTCTATGAAATCTATGAAAACTATGGAGCCCATGAAAAAGAAGAGATGAACATTACTGCCTGTGGAGCAAAGGATGAGTCATTACATCAACTGAGGTCCTCAGCTGTCTGAATAGAAATGCCACTGCTGCTGCCCAGCAGCTGGTTTTAGAGCAGGAATCCAAGTGGGATGCTTCTATTCTGGGCAGAAAAAGATCAGTCTTTGCACCCCATTTTAGGAGCCTACTTTTAGGGGGAAGGTGCATATGGTATGTGAAAAATTATGGCATAAAGTTCCTGCTCCTTAGCTTCGAGAGTAAGTCTCAAGAAGCAGTGGCACCTCGCAGGTGAAATGACCTCTGATTTGACCAAGGACACACAGGAAATCTGTAGCCGTGGGATGGGCAGCTGGACACAGGTTGTAGGGACAAACCATTGCACCGCAGGACTGAGCAGGGAGAGGGCTCCAAGGGCCCCTGTTTCTAGTGCGGGTTCTCCTCATGGTACACTGGGTGGCCGTGCCTCAGTTTCCCCAGCTGCCAAACAGGGAAGCCACAGGAGTGACTTGCAGACAGCTCACACCCTGAGCACTACCCACTTCTAGTTCCTGGGGATTTCCACAGCCCGTGAAGACCGTTCCCCCTTGGGAATCTTAGCCATGAGAGTCCATGTCATAGTGAGGACGGCCAAGACTGCCACTCGCCTACTTCCTACCTGTCAGCTGGGGGATGTAGGGTGTGCTGAGCCTGTCAGAGTTGTAGCCGCTGCCCCCCAGCACCTCGCTGATCTTGCTCTGCCGGAAGAGGACCTCAGGCCCCAGGCGGTCCAGGCTTCTCGTCAGCCTGCGGGAGGAATGCGAGTGAAGAAGACCCCGACGTGTTTTCCCCCAGGCGCCCTGCTTTGCAGAGGCCACAAGGGCTTCCTAATGAACCCACAGGACTGTCAGGATCTGGCCCTGAAATTGCAAGTGCACAGGGGCAGAAACTGCCCTGGCTTTTCAGGTGAGCATAAAATATTAAAGACGCCCTTGACTTCATTGGCGTCACGCCAGATCTGAGGGAGGGCAGAGTCAGGCTCCAACACCTGGAGGGACAGATGTTGCAGCCTATGGACAGAGATGAAGATTATGGCTGACTAAGGACACAAAGAGAAAGGAAACAGCTCTGAGGATGGGAGGATCCACTTCAGGTCAAGGATTCCTCCCTCGGCTCCTCTGGCAATGACAGTCCCCATGAAGGCGGCCAGTGGAGAAGAGACACCATCTCAGCATCCTTAGACATAGCATCCTGCAGAGACGCAGGCCGCTGCTCTCAGACTGTGGCTGAGGGCGATGTGAACCTCTGGAGGGGATGCTCCTTACCTGGGCCTCTCCACAAAAATGTCCTCTGGCAGCAGGTACATGGCCTCCTTCTGCCTCATATCGATGACCTAGGGACCAAAGAGAAACTCAAGTCAGTGGCTTCTTGAACTGGATGGTTTAAATAAACCTGCCCCACATCCAGGGGAACCAAATAGCCTATTTTGGCCCTCTTCCACACCCGGTTGGGACTGAACTGACAGCCCTGCAAGCTGTTGTCCTTGGTGTATCTACAAAGCAAGGGCTGCATGGGCACACAGATCTCAAGGGATCTTCTCCCCAACCCATCTCAACCCAACCCAACTCAACCCAACCCAAGGTGCCCACCTCAACTGTGCCCTGGAGCGACAACCTCTAGGGGCAAGAGGGGAACTCAGTCCCCAGGTCCCTTCGGCCTTAGATGACTCCTCTCAGTCACAACGTGGAGGGGCAGTACATGTGGACTGAGGGGGCAGATTTCCAGCAGAAACACCTGTCCATTGGGGAAGTGGCCCCAGGCCACTCCAAAATCACATCACACAACCCTTGCAACCAGAACAATCGCTTCCAGCCTGTGTCAGCGTCTAGGGGTAACACCACGGATTTTATACTCACACACCAAGCAGGGAAAGGCTCTGGCATCCCATTACCAGACCTTTGTACTACATGGTCCAAAGTGATGGTCCCGCCTACAGCATTGTGGACTTAGTACGGACATAAGAGACCATCACAAGCCAACAGGCAGAGCTGCACGCAGGAGCAGAGCAGGAGGGGGTCAAATCAGGACCCACCTCATGGATGTGCTGGCAGAAGGCCGGCACGGTGGTGAGCTGGCTGATGAGGTTCAAATAGGCAGCGCAGAGGGCGTATAGGGCGCAGCGGTTGTACACGGGCAGATTGTCTTCATTGATCTGGGCGACCTCCTGCAGACACAGACACAACCCCCCACGAAAGGGCCTGATGAACACCCTCCCTCGGTGTGTTTTACACCGGGGTTGTACACCGACACAAGTTACACTGGGATTAGGAGCAGACAGATGCACAGAGCTGCTGTTATTACGCCTTGCCACGGAGCAGCAGTGAAGGCAACCGCTTGCCTGCCTTTAGCAAACGCTAGTCTAGGATGAATGCAGACACACACACTCGACCCTGGTGTGATGTCCATTGATCTCTACTTCTTTCAGGGATTATTCTTTACAGCTCACTGCTTGCATGGGTTCACACCTCCTGAAAGCAGGAGGGTCACATGCCTTGGGGGAAGGGGAGGGAATTGGCTTGGTGCCGGTACCACCTCCTGGACAGCAGGATTTGCGGGGGGATGGATAGTTTGTCCACACAGAGCAAGAGATGGGGGAGGAGATGACATCCTGGGATGCTGAAGGACTGATAATTAGTCCTTTTATCTGCACCAAACAGTCCCACATTACTGAACACTGCTCAAAGACAGACCTCCCCCAAAGCAGCATATGTCTAAGACACCTAGAGGGTGCTTAGCTCTAGTTTTCCTGCTTTTATGTGTGGATGCTCGTGTTTTAAGAGCTCTTAGTATAGCCTTAGGGTAATAATGTGAAACAACATCTTAACTAGGACCAAAAATAAAGGGGCGGAGGTATCAGCATCCCAATGAATGCTCTGGAAAAGGGAGATCTTAGTGGGGCCGTGGGTGGGGGTCATCATGGTATTGGCTTTACCTCCCACTCCTGGCTGCCTGGCTGCATCTCCGAGAGAGTTGCATTTATTGATTTGTTTTTTTGCCTTGCTATTTATTCCATTTTCTCCAGGCACCCAGAGGCTGCCAGGGATGCGAGGCAGAGAAATAAAGAATTGTAAGAATAATAATAGCAGCAAACAAGCGAAAGCAGAAGACGGCTCGCCATTAGCTTGGGCAAAAAGGTTTCTCAAAGACTTATTCAGATCCCTAAGCAAATCTGAGTCCACGCTCTGCAAACGGTCTGCCTCCTTGGCTGGAGCAAACACAGACAGACAAGGACCATTTACCCTGCCTTGCTGGGGGGCGGAAAGGATAAATATACGGCAGATGGAGAGGCACTCGGGTACTTTGGGGATGGGAAGAGAGGGGCAGATAAGCACCAGGACAGGCAGAAATGGTTGCCCCAGGATAAAAATGAACAAAGCTATGGGCATACAACCGTAGAGCAGTGCACAGTTACTCCTGACTTACTAAAGGGGAACTTTACCATGGGTTATTGATTTTCCGGTGAATGCCGTATGTCCACGCTGCATTTCCAGCTGTGTCAAGGTAGATGCTACCAGGTAAATGTGTAGTGTACCCAGGTCCTTAGTGACCTCCTCTGCAGCAAGGCTGATCTGGAGTGACCCCATCAGCCCACCCTAATTAAACATCATGGCACTTCTCAGGGACGTGTTAAGCCTTGCAGCTATGGGGCTAGATCCTCTGCGGCAGTGGGGTATCACTCTACTGAGCCAAACAGCATAACTAAGAGCTAGATCCAGCCAGATCCCATCCCCAAAGTCCTCAAGGCAGCCCTGTTCCAACCCTCGACACCCACGTGCCAATGTATAGTTTGCACCTCTCTGCGCACCCCTTCTGAATGGGGCTCAAGCCAGACACTCATGCATTGGGATATTTAGTCTGGAGGAGGGATTTGATAACGGTCTGCAAACCCCTGAAGGGCGATGACAGAGAGGATGGAGATGGGCTTTTCTCTGCAGCCGCAGGGGACAGGACTAGGAGCAGTGGCCTCAGGCTGGAGCAGGGGAGATTGAAGCTGGAGATTCAGGTGGGAGCATCTGACTTAGAGGGTGGTCAAGCATGGGAACAGGCTGCCTAGAGAGGCTGTGCACTCTCCATCCTTGCAAGTTTTCAAGAGCAGGTTGGACAGACACTGGGCTGGGATGCTTTAGTGAGAGATGAGCAAGGGGCCCTTTCAGCCCCACTTTCCTACAATCCTATGATCCTGTTGCCCTGAGAGGAGACCCCACTGCTGCCCTCCGTATCCCACCTGCACGGCCAGCACCAGGCGGATGAGGTCCACCACCACCTCCTCGTTGGCCAGCTCAATGCTGATGAGTGCCAGCATGCTGTAGAGAGCCTCGTAGTGCGACTGCAGGTTGCCCTCCTCCTTGCAGGTCAAGTAGATGTGACGGTACAGCTGCTGGGCATGCTGAGGGAGACAAGGGAGTCAGGCTGGCAGGGCCCTCAGGTGTCCATCTCATCCAACCCTTGCTTGAGGCAGGGCTGTCCCTATCTACACCAGTTTAGACAAGGGTTTCGGATCAGGCTCCGGAGCCCTGATTCTGGGAAGCATTTCAGCCCTGGAGAGTGGGAGAAGGGGCTGTGGTGGGTCTTCCCCCAAGCCTTGCCAAGGAAAAGCAGCAGGAGCTGGGTCCTAGTAAGCCGTGCATGAACAACTCTCACACGGCTACCAGGCCTGATACCTGGAGCCCCCAGAGATGTCCTGACCTGCCCCAGGTCAAGCAGGAGAATGTCCTGCCACTGCTATCCAATTCAGCTTACACCTCACCGTCCTGCCACTGCAAGGACAGGAAAGTTCATTCACGTGCATTCAAGAATAATCCAAGAAGGGTTATTCCCTGTTAGAAAGGAAATCCCCACCGCCCAGGCCGATGTGACCAAGGGACAAAATTCCTTCCCGGCCCCAAATGCAGCATCGGTCTGGCCCTGAGTGAAAGGGCAAGACCCTCTAGCCCTTTTTCCCTTTTGGGGAAAAAAAATTAGACCTGCTAGATTTTTGCAAAAAAAAAAATTCATTAATTGCAAGCTTTAAGGGTGTTTGCACCCAAAAGTTTGCAATTAAAGATTTTTTTTTTTGCAAAAATCTAGTCGGTCTAATAAAAGAAATCACCTCTACCACAAGTCCTGAATGCTTTTTCCTCTGGCCCAATACGGTACAACCTGGATACCCTCCAGCTCTAAGTCACAATCCCCAGCTTGGGCTGCAGCCAAAAACCCAATGGTTTGGGGGATGGCAACCTCCCACCTGCCCGACATGTGGCAACAGAAGTGGGGGGGAAGTCCTTTCTGGCCCCAGGTAGCAACCAGCAAAGCCCAGGAGAACGGGAAAAACCCAACACCTTCCACTGCTCTGCAACCTGGGGACAGCAGGCACAGCTCCAAGCACCCCATGCCCTGAGTGGAGAGCCAACATTTCCCTTTCTATATCCCCTCCATGAACCTACCCCAGCCCTTTTAATCTTCCGTAGACAAGCTGGTTGCAGAGCACAGCTTCGCTCTCTTGCTGCTGAGCATGGGCTTCACCTACTCGCAGCAGATCTTGCTATGAGGGGACCCAGCCCAAGCACAGGCAGCAAGACATCACCCAGCACCGGGGGCGTCTGGTCCACTGCAAAGGGTGCCCTAGGACGTGCACTTCCATGGACACCTTCTGCCCCGGGCTGCTGGTCCATGCCTCTTGCCATCACTGTGCCGGGCACAGCAAAAATCCTGTCCACAAAATCCAGGCCAGACCTGTTCTCTCATTGGCGCCTGCTGCTGCAGGGGACTGGGAGCCCTTCACTCAGCACCACTTGGGATCAGGCCCCAGGACTCTGATTTTGGGAAGCGTTTCAGCCCTGGAGAGTGGGAGAAGGGGCTGTGGTGGGTCTTCCCCCATGCCTTGCCAAGGAAAAGCAGCAGGAGCTGGGTCCTAGCCCCAGCCTGCCTCGGTCCTGAGCTCTGCCTTCCCGCTGCCCATCGCGTTCAACTTCCGAAGCCCCTCAATAAACATTTCCAACCCAGCTTATTCTTCCTACCTGGCTTTTGGCAGGAACCCCCATTTCTGCACTGCCTGTATGTGTGCCAGGCAGTGCACAAATAAAGTAGCAAAGCAACGTGTAGCACTTTGGGGAGAGGGCTCAGGTTCATGCTCCTTGTACCCAGACACAAGCTGCATATCCCTAATGCAAACCTTCCCCAATGGTCTTTGCTAACACTCGCTGCCCAGGCTCTGTTCCCGAGGGAGCTCCCTGAAGGTTTAATTTGAGATGATCACTACATACCTCCTAGGACACCCACATAGAAAAGCATCCCCCCATCTGACTCAGGATAGGTCAGTAGGGACAGCAAAAGGGGTAGATAGGTAGGTGGCCAAACCCACCACCTACCTTCTTCATGAACACGGTATCCTGCCGAGAGCACTTGTCCACTTTCAGCTTCAGGACTGAGATATCGCTGATGGTGCTGCAGTTAAAAGCCAAGGGAGAAGGAAAAATCACTGCTACCAAACACAGTTAAACATTGTCAGAGGAAGGGAGCAGGTAAGGCACCGGGAGGGCGAGTGACCCACCCAAGGCCACTGAAGCAAGCCGTGTCAGTGCCCGGGTCTGGATTCAGCAGTTGGGAGCCCAGGACGGCTTCCTACCTCCCTGCATTTCTACCACGACGGTCCCAAAGTGACTGTACTTCCCAGGTGTCATGTATTAAAGGAGGTGGGTTAGAAGCACAGGATTGTAGGGCTGGAAAGGACCTTGAGGCTGGTCTGTCTGATGATGGTGGCCGATCCTGGAGAGGGAAGGCCTGGCAGGCTGCAGGTGAGGAGCCCTCAGACTCTGGGGATGAGTCTGCCAGTCCTCAGGTGGGCAGGCCTGCCCAGCCCCCTCCTCCCCAGCACCACCGCTGACCCATAAGAGACAAGCCCCAAGAGACCACCAAGTCTCGGGCTGTCCAAATGGCAGCCTCGATGGTTCAATCTTAGTCCACAGGGATTGGAAACCCTTGCAGGTGCCACAGACCCTAAACTAGCACCCGGGGGGGCTAATGCCACCACCACTTGCTCCCCAACACGTGGTGGGACGTCCAGACCACAAGAAACCCCAAGTCCTGATATGCCCCCACAACCCAAACGAGTAGGACAGCCTTTCTCTAGTCCACTCCCCTGCACTGAGACAAGGCAAAGTCGGACCAGACCTCCCTTGGCAGACATCGATCCCATCTGTCCCTACGCACCTCCCATGAAGGAGATGCTATAGCTTCCTTCAGCAACGGGGTCCAGGTTTCCCCCCTCCTGGAGACTCAGGATGCATCTCCTCATTTCCAGTCTAAACCTTCCTGCCTGCTGATTATTGTATTTACCCAAATCCAAGACGATGCTGAATTTAAGACGACCCCCACAAGAATTCAATTCTGTGCATGGAAAATATATCAATTTGTCAAAATTTTCCGTGTGTGAAAAGCCAATTTTTAAGAGAGTCGTGTTAAATTTGTGCCCTCCCACTGCTGCGGTGGGGAATGCAGTGCCAGGGGGACAAGTGGAGAGAGAGGATCCAAGATGAGCCCCCCACCATGTGTTAAATGAGGGGGGAAAACCCTCATCTTAGATTTAAGTAAATGCTGTAAATTATTCTTGCCCTTCCTGCAATGGCCAAGGAGAACCATCCCCTTCTGTCATGACCACGGCAGTATTGCCAGCTCTCATGATTTTTGGCGTTCTTAAAGTCTGCGCTTTGGCAATGTGAAAATATAGCTTTCTTTCATCTATATACAGAAATATAAATATAGACACAACAAAGAGCTAAGTTTCTCTTCACTTGTTTCTAAGACTTTAAGAACAACACCAAAAATCATGCGAGTTGGCAACATTGCCGCTGTGCCGGCTACGCCTCGCACTCGCGACTGCTGCCTAAAGGAACCTCCTTGGCAAAGACCCTGGAGACAGAGCCCAGACTTTCACTGAGATCTGCTGCCGTACCTGACGGTGGAAAACTTGTGCCTGTTCCCTTGGCGATCGATGAAGCTGATCAAGATCTCGAGGACAAACAGACGGATCTCAGGGTCTTCCATCAGGGCCGGCGAGAGCAGCCTGTCCAGGAAGGAGCTGGGAAGGGCCGTGAGCATGTTGGTGCACTGGAAACCTATGGAGACCTGCACAAGGTGGAAGGAGAAGAGAGAGGATATTAATGAGGGTCGCCGCTCTGAAATGACCCCCACTCCCGATGAGAAAAGCACCGAATGAATGCCGGGGAACTCAATCACCTGCGGAGGCATCACGTTAAGGGAGGGAGCTCTGGGGCGCTGGCTTCTGCACGGCCCCGAAGCGGCTGGCTTACGAGGGGCTACGGGAAGCGGACAGAAAACGGGCCACAGGTGCTACCGTATTGTTCGGATCAGAAGCCGACCTTGTTTTTTCCATCCAAAAAGAGCCCTACTGACCCATATGTAAGGTCAACCTATAATCAGGCTCCTAATGCCCTTGGCTTTTTCCCTTGCAGTCATTTTGCTGGGCAATAAAAGCACCATCTCTAATTTTTTTTTTTTTTCGAGGTAGCTTCTATCTTTTAGTCTTTTCTGTGCACTTAACCTTCGGGTTCCTTCCCTTGTTTCTTCTGTGGGACTTAAGAGTCATAAACTCGTAGAAAATGAGGGTTGAAGGGACCGCAGGAGGTCACGTCTAGTCCAACCCCCTGCTCCAAGCAGGACCAGCCCCAATTATATCCCCAACTTGGTAAGGGCAAGAGCAGGGTGAGGTTGTTTGTAATTCCTGACTTCTATTCAGGCTGGTTTTTTCCCTAAAACTGAACCTGGGTTAAATTGCATGTGGGGTCGACTTATAATCAGAAAAATACAGCATGCGACCGGGGAGGGGAGAGCCTGTTCCAGCGTGCAGGCCTGGGCAGTCATGAGGAGACCCAGCCTGGAGAAGCAAGAGGGGCTGTGAATACCCTACGCCAACACCACTGCCATGTGCTCCTCAGTACCCATGCAAGCCCCAAGCAATCCAGCTAGTGAGGTATCAGCTGTCTCGGGGTGCACAACTTGGCTGCACTTTTGCTGTCGATCTGCTCCCGTTGGCTTCACACCGCTAGTACCGCGTGTGCACGGCAGGATGCGACCCTACCTGAAGGAGGGATTTCAGCAGCATTATCTGAGTCAGGCGGTTCCTGTTCTCTCTGCAAGGGACAGAAAAACGGTGTAAGGCCTGGCCGAAAACATGGTTCTCTCTTTTTCCTGGAAACACGCAGCTAGAGAGATCGAAGGAAGCGTCCCCCACCCAGGGCCAGCACAGGGTTGATTCCTCTGGGACAGTCACTAGTGTCCGCCCCCGGCTGCCTTTCGAATGACTCCAGAAATACTTCATTCAGGACTTGTGGTAGAGGAGATATCTTTTATTAGACCAACTTGATTTTTTGGGGAAAAAAATTAGACCTAGATTTTTGCAAAAAAAAAAATTGTTAATTGCCATTTTTTAAGGTGTTTGCACCCAAAAGGTTGCAATTAAAGATTTTTTTTTTTGCAAAACTCTAGTAGGTCTTATAAAAGAGATCACCTCTACCATGAGTCCTGAATGCATTCTCCTCTGGCCCAATACGGCTACGACCTGGATACCTGACGCTCCAGAAATACTTGGCATTTTCAACATTGCTTCAGTCTTGCTCCTAGCTCTCTCTCTTGGTACCACCAAAAATAATCCTTCTCTGGCCCAGAGTGGTCATACTCTCCCAGAAGAGCTGCAGGCTGATATCCTGCTGTCCCCTTTAATGACTGCAGGGATGTGCTATATATGGAGCCTGGGCCTGATTCGGGTATCTCACCATGGATGGGTGCAACACCATTGACCTCCGTGGGGTGACTTTAGCCTTTCACTCGTGCCAAGTCATTGGTCTCTATGTTGTAATTACTCCCAAACTAGGATTTGGATGTAGTGTATAGGACTGGGTAAATATCTGTATTCATATCAAGGTAAGTAAGAGAGGCCTGGAGGTGTCCCCTGAATTTTAATTCAGTCCTTCCTCAAAGACAGAGTTGAAGGGAGGGCAGCTGCCATGTAGAAGCACAGAAAATGAGGGTGAAGGGACCTCAGGGGGTTGTATCTAGTGCAACCCCCTGCTCCAAGCAGGACCAGCCCCAACTCCATCATCCCAGCCAAGGCTTGGTCTACCCGGGTCTTCAAGACCTGCCCGAGGAGAAAGCAGCCGGCCGATGTCGTGGCTCCGACATCCCAGTCCCCAGAAAGGAAAAGAAGCAGCTTTCCCCTGTATAAAGAGGCAACAGGCCCGATGCTGGGATCGCAGCGATCGAAGATGGAGGATGCTCTGCTGAACTGAACAGGCCTGATCCTGTTCTCATGCTGATGTAAATCAGGAGTGATGCTACTCAAGTCACCGCAGCGCCACTGGTGTTAGGGAAACCAGAACGGGGTAAACCCAGCTTGGCACATTCAAGTCCCAGCACTGGCTCGGCAGGGTTGTTATAATCTAGCCCTGATCTCTTTGCCTATTATCTCTTCTCTTTGAAACCATTAAGAGCAGCTTCTCCGCTGTTCCCAACCTCCTTAGCCCATTATGGGGTGGGTTCCCCCTTTGCCTCCTCCGTGAAGCTCGAAATAGCATCCTTCTATTCACTGCAGATAAAAGCTTTTTTTGCACCAGCTAATCAGGACCCTGAGTGCTGCCGTCCGCGACGCTGCATTAGCACAAATAGGTCAGCACCCCGCAAAGGTCACGCTGTCGGCTGCGCTACAGGTCCTCTATTCCCGCTTGCCCGGTGAAATGTAACGGTAGAGGCGCCGGCTGCTTTCAGAGCCTCTCGCTTTCTTCAGATGAGCCCCTTCTAATTAAGCAGCTGGATGAAGTAGAAGCAGAGGTGTATTGTCTGGAAACAATCAGGCTGGCTATGCAGACGCTGTGGAGGGCAGCCGGGAAGTGTGCCCTGCATTTATGTTCGTAGGGTGAGGATCCAAGCTCCTGCCCATGCTGCTGCCAGGCTGTCTCGGGCATCCTGCGAGACGTGAGCTATGGGCCGCTCTCAGGCAGCTCCGATGCCTCATTTCCAGGAGCTGGCAGGAGCAGGGCCTGCTTTGGGGTGTCGCTGAGGTGCCGAGGATGCCCCTGGATAGAGCCCTGCAGTCACTTGCGGAGGAGAGCAGAGTGCTCCCCTGTTTCAAAGTCTTGGCTTACCCTCTCCAGACAGAGGCTGCTCCCTTGGTAGCCGAAACGGGCTTATTGCAACCCACAATACCGGTCTCTCTCCAGGGCATGGTGCAAGCTAAATTCTGCCTCTCTGAGTTAAGCAAAAGCCAGGCACATCCACCTTTGGTCCCGGGAGTGCATGCCGTGTGCCCGTCATCCGTCCTCTCACCCCATCCCCTGTGAATCCGGGGTAAAGTGAATATATTCTGATCAAAAAAGTTTTTCATAGATCCGGTGTATAAGTCAACCCACGTTTTATAATGCCCCATTTGAAAAACATGCCATGTACAGTAAGTGGCAGGAAGAACTGAGAACGAACAATCGCCACCATGACTGTTTCCGATGGCGATCACGCTAACTACCGCAGGCTGCAGGTAGGCTTAATTGGATAGCCTGGGGTAATTAAGTTCATTCGGTCTTTGCTAAAATAGTGCCGAATCACGAGTCTAAACCAGTAATGTAAGATGATTAAAGAGAATCGTTGCACTTTCACACAAAGGGGGATAAACAACGGTCCATTCATAATGGATGTGATTATAGTATCTAATTCATGTAATTAGTGCACCCGCGCCCCAAGCCTCATGCGTTCAAACTATCGTTACTAATTTATTGCACACTTAATTGTAACAGGAACACAACTGAAATGTTGGTGGCCGTCCTTTGCTTTGCTTTGATGACTGTTTCAAAGACGAACAAACTTTGAAACACAATTTTTTCCATTTCAAAGTACTGATTCAGTGTGTAAGTCGAGGTGGAAATTTAAGGGGAAATATTTTGGCTTCAAACTTTGACTTTTACACCGTGAAATGTGGTAACAGGATGTTGCACTGAGATTTAAGAAGTAAAGAAAATCCAGGTACCAGATATCACTAAAATAAGAACAGGTCAGCACAGGATTAGCATTTGGACTGGCTGGGAAACAGGTAACTGAAGAATGTATTAAAAAAAAGATGATTTAGGACATCTTGTCTTAAATTTAGGACACCTGTCCCCTCTGTCACCCAGCCTGATCTCCTGGCCAACTGGGAATAAAGCTAAGCCGGTTGTACTCACCGTGTCTCCCTACTCAAACCCTATTGCAGTAGGAGCTGACCGCACCTTGACAGCTATTCCTGCCCTGCGCCACCGTCTCTCTTTGAGGCATGGGTCTCCCCAGATTTCTCTTGCCCCTCGAGCTTATTCTTCCACTAAGGCAGGGATCCCTGCCTTGGAGAGATCCACTTTCCTGGCAGTAAGGGACCCTACCACCCCCCAGGGCTTACTCAGGCAGGACTGTCCCAGCTGTGGGGCTCACCTCACCAGTAGCAACTGGACTGAGCTCCAGCAACTCGTGTTAGAGATGTCCCTGAGGGGCACCATCTCCAACCAGCCAGGGCTGGATTTGAACCAGTGACCAAAGGAGCAAGGCTCTGTATCAGCAGGAGATTTTCTACTTGCCCCAGGAACTCAGAGGACAAATCCTGAGAGCCGGTGATCTCAAAACCTGGTTCTGGATAGGGGAAAATAACCCCGCGCTGCTGGCGCATTCTCCTTGGCAGCAGGGGACATTTCCCCATCCACGCCAGGGCAACTCCCAAGCCAGCTCCCAGTGTGTTACATGACAAAGATGCAGGAGACGGAGGGGGAGAAAGGAAGGGAAAGTTTGTCCTCACCCAGCTTTCCCGGTGTCCAGGGCGTGATGCAGAGAAGGCAGCGGGACCTTGCTCATGATGAAGAGCATGACCTCGGACCGCTGGTAGGTGGGCAGGGTGCTGGCAAAGGTACCTGGGAAGACAGAGAAGACAGA